AGGAGACCCCCAGAAGACTGGAGTGTCCTAGAAGCCAAGGCCACAAGTAGTCTCATGGAGGAAGTGACCAAGTGTTAGCATCAATACGTTCAAGAGAGGAAAGGACTAAAGACCTTTTGGCATCTCAGACTTTACCAAAATGGTTTTGCTCTGATCACCAACAGAGGGATGAAAGCCAGATTAGAAAAGGTAAGAAGTAAGTAGAAGGCAAAGAATCAGGAAAGCAAATCTAACTCTACAGATCGGTGGCATCTGATGAAAGATGCAATAAAAAAAAGCTTCAGTCGTTTAGATGAGACCTCAGAGTATTTTTGAGGGTCCAGCAGATGGAACCAGTGTTGAAATTAAAGGGAAGAGATGGAGGACCAACTTAGCCAAAATCTGGGGTGGGGGGGTCACTGCAGAGGGCTGGGCTCTCAGGAGGTTGGTCTTGAACCAAGGGCAACAAGTCAGTCTCTAAGACAAGGATATGAGAGTGGGAATGGACATGAGATTGTTAGGTGAAAGGAGAGGAATGATGACCTTAATTGTATTGGTAAAATGAAATTAACGGTGGTATGCTGGGAACGGAAGCGAGGGTTAAGTGCCACACTGAAAGGAAGGTGTGGGAAATGGGAGAGGGAGCGTCATTAAATGTAATAAAAGGACAAGTACTTTCATGAGTGAGCCACATATAAAATCAACCAGGGGACCAAGGCTGCGGGGACAGAGGCTAGGACGGACTAGAGAAATGGTGGGAAACAGCCTGCAGGACTCTGAGGTCGATGATCAGCTTAGAGCAAGCAAGGACAGAACCCGATGGAGAGCATGTCCTAGTTAGAGGATACTGGAGGTTATGTTCAAACAGCTCCAGATGGAAACATCCACACTGCAGCCTTCGGAGGGGTTGGTGGAAACAGGAGAGATGAGGGTGAAAAAGCAAGAATCCTGGGGTTGGAATATTGAATAGGGTATCTACATAGGTACATGCCAGAAAACATCTACATTGCTGGCACTTAGGGAGACTTGCTGTTTTTGTTTGGAAAAATACACTTGAAATGGGAAGAGGAAAAATGCTTGAGGCAGATGATCCACTCCCCATGGGATTGGGGGCCACAGCTTAAAAAGAGGGTAACACAATCTGCTTGTTCCTCTGGAAGGCGGGGTGGTGTAGACAACAGGGAAGAGGAAGAGACAAGGGGAGGAGGGAAGAGCCAGTTCCTGGCACTGGGCGGGGATGACCTTAGGGGAGCGCAGCAGCAGGGTGGCCGAAAAGAACCTGTGGAAGAAGGGAACATCTAACCCCGCGCTGCTTGTGGCGGGGAACGCAATGTGATGGGACTCCTCTGCCCTGGTGCCTCTAAGGAGGGTCGCTCAGCTGAGCTCACTGTCACCAATGCCTCGTGAATAAGTGCCCGGCTGTTAGGTGTGACCGTGGCTTCTTGCCTGCCCAAATGTGGTCACAAGTGGGGAATGTCATCGTCAGACGGAAAGCACAAGGGGACAGATGTCACTTCTCACTTTCCCCTGCCACAGCAACTGACAACATTTAATGGTAACTTGGTCCCAGTAAGATGGGCAGAATTCCCCCCATCTCACCCACAAGACACGTAGAAGTTGCTCTAAACCACCTATTCTGGGGACTGTTGTACTGCAGCATAACATAATCTTATATACTTCCAGTGTCGGATCAACTGCTGTCCTGTCAACTTCATCGCAAACATCCTGACTTCCACCCCAACACTACAGCACCCCGTTCCCTCCCCTGTATCCATGCAGTAACGTCCTAGCTTAAGTCTTACCTTGCTTCCTTCCAATCCATTCTCTAAACTGCAGCCAATTTTTCAAACACACAGCTCTGATCCCATGACTGCCTGGCTTTTCAGTCTATGGCTTGCCATCATCCCTGAAATTAAATCCAAACTGTCTATAAGGCCCCTATAATGTACCCTCGCTAGTCGCTCACTGCTCTCCCTCTTACATTCCAGACTACAACTCCGCTTCTGAACACACCATGACGTCTGGGCTCTATACTTTTGCCAATCTGTTCCCACCACAAGGAGTACACAACTTCCTTGGTTTGCTTGTTCAGATCCCCAGACCAGGAACCTGTGCCACAAATCATACGGAACCCTGTACTTCCCCTATTACAACACTATTTGATAGTAATTATGTAGAGTGTTTTTTCCCAACACTGTTGCCAACGTCGAGTGCATAGGACCGAGGAGTAGGAGGTACCAAGGGAAGGAGGGGAAGGTCGCTAGCGTTGCCTTTGCTCCATTCACAGGGTGGAGGTGGCGTGATACTAAGTTTTGTACCCATCTTCGCCACAGACACTGTAAGCAGAGGCTATGGCAGTGCACAGCTCAGCAGTGGGCTGTACCTGGGCAGCCACATGTGGTCATTCCATAATGCTTGACTGTACCTCCAAGGACAACTGATGCTGAAAGAAATTTCTTAATCTTTTAAATGTAGATTTTAAAGACTATAAAGATTCTCAGGGTTTCCAAACTCAGCATTCTGGACTTAAACTGCTGATGAATCAGCCCTATTAATATTTCAGTAACATCATGTCAAAGGAAAATAATTTTTGCTTATGCCAATTCTCCCAAGTGCGACTGAAGTCGTTCTGAAGCTTGAAAGATCACTCACTCACTCAGCAGTCTTGTTTCAAAGAACAGGCAAGTGGCGGTAGCTTTCCTGCCGCCTGCCTACCACCATGGGTCTTTAATATCCCTTGTTTAGGTCCCAAGATTCAGAGAGAAGCATTTTATTGTCTAGAAACATCAGCTAATCCTAGAAAAATAGCAAAAATCTGCCACAGTCATCTTAACTTTAATAGTTGCTTTCAAAGTTCAAATATATATTGTTTTGGAATTATACAAAGTATCACTATCTGGCATGTCTTTAAATATTACAGCTAAACAGGAAACTACCCATACTGGGAAACAAGTCATTAGTTCAAGAAAGTAAATTAATGGACAAACTATTCTCCTGAAGAGAATGTAAATGAGTAATGTTGAAAATCCATTTATTGCTTTTACAAGAACTCAAGTAAAATGCACTAGCGGTTCATGGCTACTGTTGCTCACCTGTGTACAGCACGACTACAAAGCACTCTAACTGCCTCACCCTCTGTGTCGTGGTGGAGCTGTAAAGTATGCAGAAAGCATCTCCTAGCCAGAGAAAAACAGTATCTATGTTAAGCGATTTACGAAAGACTATCCATAAGTCAGTAATCGTATATCGAGTAGAAAACTATTTTCACTAAATCATGATGGTTCTAATTGGTGGAAGAAAACAGGTTGATTAGAAGCTATACTTATCAGTTTATCTATTTATTTAGAGTAAGATTAGCCCCAAGCTGACATCCGTGCCCAACTTCCTCTACTTTATATGTGGGACGCCTGCCACAGTATGGCTTGATAAGCGGTGCCTAGGTCTACGCCTGGGATCCGAACTAGCGAAGCCGGGGCCGCTGAAGTGGAGTGTGGGAACTTAACGGCCCCACCACTGGGCCGGCCCCTATACTTACATCTAGGTAAAAGATTAAGAACTGACTTAAGGTCTGAAAACTTCAACATGTATAGAATAGCTGCTAGAAATGAAGAAAAATCTTTCTCTAAAATAGTGATTCTCAATCAGGGCAATTTTGTGCGCACCCCCCCCCACCCCCCCATCCATGCCCCCTCCACTGGGGACATTTAGCAAGAACTGAAGACATTTGGTTGTCACAACTGGGGGTAGCACTGGTACTAGCAGTGTCTAAGTGGGTAGAGGCCAGGGATGCTGCTAGTATCTTACAATGCACAGGGCAGCCCCATAACAGAATTACCCAGTCCAAAATGTCAACCGTGCCAAGGCAGAGGAATGCTGATCTAAAGAGAACAGGCATCTTTCTAATAAAGTGTAAATTCTGGAGGAAAGTATGGATTTTATTTCTAGAATAAGGAACCAGGAGTTTATTTCCAAACCTTTAGGAAAGCCTAATTTAGTTCACAGGTGGTAATGATTCCAAGCAAAATGCACATCTGTGTGTCTTTAAAAATACTATGCTGGAATTATAGTAAGCATCCACCATTTAGCTGCCCTTACCTAAGCAAGCAGCTAGGCTTATATTAAAAGTGAAATGTCTGTGAAACAAGTAGAACAGCTTTTCAGAGTAACAGGATTATTACAGGCTATTAAAACATGAGGTTATCATGGTATCATACATGACCCAGTTCTGGAGTACAATTCTATAGACATTTTTGTGAGACAGCATTCTAGAATAAAATTACTCAATGTGCATCAACCATTAGTTACTAATAATGGCTATATACACTAATTCCAATATTCCCTAATTTGGAAAGAATTTCAGTTCACAGAATGTAAGTTTTTTCTCCTCTAAGACCTAAGTGAACTTAATTCAGTTTGCCAAAATCATCACTGATAATCATTGAAGATCAGAATTAAAAAGTATGAAGACGTCAGGATATTAAGACTCCCTCTACTAACAGTCATTCACACACACATTGACTACAAGGTCTAACAAAGTAAAATTATCTACAATACTCCCCTCAGTAGTTTCAACTGAAGTTAGTTTTCCCTTTTTGAACGTAGAGCTTTCTGTTACACGCAGCAAAAACATGTTGCTGATAAATCTTGCCCTAAATTACAGTACAGGTGTTTGCAGAATCTTACTTTTTGAGTACTAATAGGAAAACAAGCAACTTACTGTACTGTAAAGAGGAAATACGTAATTTCGTTGTGCATCTTTCTTAAGAAAATGGTCTTATCTGGTGAGCTTTTGGCAGCTTGTCACCAAATACTTCCACTGTGCTCCATTTTTGCAACCAAAGGTATCAAAGGAGTTTTATTTAATTAACTGGGAAAGTCAGTTAAAACCAGAATATCCTTTTCCCAAACAGTTAAATGAACTGTTAACTGTATTGTCCACTTTCCATCCCAGAGAGGATTAAAGAAGATTTCAAGAACAGATATGAATCTGAGGTGGCAGTGGTTTGAAAATTAGGATTCAATTTACGATAGAGCTAGAACCCAAAATTTATTTGCTGAAATTTTTAAGCTCTTTAATATCAAAACATTTATTAAGCAAATATATCTAGAGATTGGCAGTTAATTTTAACAATTTAAGTTTTGGGTAGAATTTAATGTGGGCAGAAAATGTTACTTCAACTTTTTAAACTGTGAAGTATTACAATATACTTTGTCATGTGGCTAAACACAGCTTACAAGGCTTATTAATTAACCAATCAATTGAATTTTTCAATGACTAAGGATTTTATGTATTTCATTATTTTGAATTTAAATTATGCTTATATAATCATATTCATATTATGCCTAAAACTGAGCTAGACATAAAGATATCAGACATCCCTTAAAAGTGGCTGAATTAGATATGACCCTGTTATTAACCATTTACCCAAAGAAACTGCTAAAAACTGACTGATTTGGTTAATTATGGTTACATAAAAATTATGTAAATATTCAAACACTTGATGAAGTCGTAATACTTCAACCTTTTAAGATTTCTAATTCCCAGTGGTTAAGAATCTTTAGGTATCATTAACGAACACATGACTACCATTTTAAAAATTACTGTTCAGTGCTATTGATTTGAGAAATAAATTTTTAGGTTAGGCCTTGCCATACCAAATTCTCTTTCTGCCTTAGTTTCATAACCTAACCTGACCTCAAAATACAACCCCATACTGGCCACTCTTTAAAAAGAAATCAGGTAGATCTAAACAATTTAAACATCTTCAAGAAAATCAAACAGCTGTCTTCTTACTGTTAACTTCTAGATCTCTTGAGGAGCCTACATATGGAGAATTGCTACGCAGAATTTCCTAATACTACTTAAAAGACCAGTAAAACAATATGAGTGGCAGATTATGACTGGATCCCACACCTTGCAAATTCCATTCCGGTATCACGACATTACCCCTAAAGTGTGGAGTTAACTGGTATGACTCAGCATTTAAAGTCTGAGTGTTCTTCTGTTATTAAGTTTGTTATGTAATTTTGTTATGTTTTATATATATATATATATATATATATATATACATAAACACTAAAACCATATCTACCACTAGAAAAGAGCAGAATCTATTTCTTTTATATTAAAACATAGAATTTCAGCTATATTAGAGAAATTAGCCATCTTGCAAAACTCAAAAAAAAACCACCATGCATCTCGGAAGTTGAAAAATAAAAAAAAGGAAAATCCAATGCATGAAAAGCATGTGGATTTAACTTCAGATAATTAACTAAGACATTCACACAACATATGCATGTCAGTCTCCTAATTGGTCCTAGAGCCTGCAGTATTGTAATTTATTGTGAAACCATGTAACCAAATACTTAAATATATCCACAACATCTATACCACGGTAATGCATAGTACATAATATACTAACATCTCAAAATAAATTTCTATTACAGTTTTATGCAAATTATGGTATAAGATTATCACCTGCCACATTTTGAAATGGCACCAACTTCATGTCAAGTTTCATGTCAATGTATTAGTCAAACTCCTTACTGATAATGATGTCTTATGCATTATCATCTGAACACTTTGAAATCAAGCTGTTAATCTAATAACCACAGTATGTTGTTATCAATTAAAGTCACTGCATATTCAGATGTTAAAGCAGGTAAGTAATACAGCAGAAAAAGTATTTCTAATTCACAGTTTCAAAAATAAAGGGTGCAGTTTTCAAATATCTGATTGCTTAAAATTGGTCAATGTACAACTGCCTCCTTCAACACATGTAAACTGGTTTGCACAGCATTAGGAGATGCCTTTTATTTCAGAAGTTAGTTCTTACTGTTACAGGAGCACCACAAATTTGAAGGAAGAGGCTACAGTGTGAAATGAGCTAGCTCACTGTAGGATATGTTAAATAAAATTTTAACTACGATAAAAGGTACTGCAAAGCTTTGTTGACCCCCAGCACAGACCCCTTAATCAGGAAAAGTAGTTAACACTTACCAAATACAATAATGTAAATTAGGTCTACAAGAGAGGGGGGAAAATCTAACTCAACTAAAAGAAAATACTATTATTAGCTAACAAACCTGTGATAGCCGGCTTCAGAATTTTCCTAAAAATAAAATTCAAAAGCATACACAGTATTTGTATCCTTCGTTTAGGAATGCAGAGATTCAAAGGGAATGAAAGAAAAATCTGGCTTTACGAATTTCTAAGTGGAAACACACGCACACAAATGGGTAACTGAGAAAAACTGAGCACTTAAATATTCAAATTTTAAATGTGTAAGAAAATTTATAATAGAAAAAAGTGGCAAATTGTTATTGTGACTTGATTTGCTGAAAACATCTGCAAATTCACACTGGCATTAAGAAAACCAAAGTTTCAAAAATTTACTCCTCTCTTTCTCTCCAGATATGTGTTTTCTGTGCAAAAATAAATATCTGAAAATTGCACTAATACAATAATACTTATTTTAACTTTTGTATTATGAATAATCTGCACATGCTGCTTTACAGACAATACATATTTGTAAACTTGCTCATGCAAAATTAGTGTGCGCAACAGGGATACTGTCAATCCCTATACTTAAAAATGATACCTTATTATCTTTTTTTAAACTGCAAACCCTCTGAATTGTAACAAATCTTACACAGATATTCTTGTCTGCCAGCTAAAAATCAATTTATGTTGCAGAAATAAAAAGTTAAACAAGAAAAAGAAACATGGTTTTTGTCTTGCAAAATTTTTGATTTTTAAATAAGAGAAAATTTATAAAAGAAAGAAATTCATGGTCACAAAATTTTAACATTTTAATCCTAAACATTACAGGGCAAATAGATACTGGACCCTATCTCCATAAATCCTAACTTTTAGTTTCCATTTTAAATGTTGCCCCAACCACTAAGACATTAGTGGTTTTACAACCTCTGGATTATGGAAATACACATTTCTGAAATAAATGCTACAAAAACAACAATGGAAGAAAGCCAAACTGTCTCCATGAAGGAAAAAAAAGTGGAACATTTTGAAGCTTTTAGACACTTCTCTTTCCATGTCTTATGATTAACCTGTCAATTCAGTGCATCGTATGGTCAACGTAATGGTCCCGTATGGAGCAAACATCTAACTAGTGTCCATTGATTCCAAGTTAGTGGACGATGAGTCTTTCTGGATGCTCTCAAAGATGGCTGCCAGCTCAGGGTTGGAGCTGATCTGCGACTGGAACTCGCTCATCAGCGGGCTCTTCTCGGCCTCGGGAATGGTCAGCAGGGCCGCGACTGCTCTCATGGCCGATCGCTTCAGTTCGTCCTGCTTTTCAAACTCCTGCTTTACTGAGTTTGCCTTCACCTGTAACATCGAGTAAATTTATATCATATGCTATAAAACACAGCTCACACATGAACCAAATTTAAGCACATTGAAATTTCTTGTAAATAAAGCAAAGCTACTCTTTCATAGGTCCAAAAGGCACATTGTACTCTAAGCACAGTTGTTTTTAAACTTTTTAGCAGTAGCTGTCACCTTTTCTTTTAAGGGAGTATTTTACACAAAGCCCATTACAAAAACAGAAACTCTAGAGCCATCATGGTTGAAACAAAGGAAGGGACCCAGAGCCTTAATCTGCTTAGCAAGTCCTACTTTGGCCTCCACCAGTGCATGTAATTATTTTTATATGAAAAACCCTGTTTCACCTTCTGAATCTAAAAGTAATTCTGACTTTTCAAGCCCCATTTTAAATGTCGTCATGCTCATGTGAAGCCTTCTATGACCCTCACCCGTGCCACCTCCACCAGACTGAAACATTTCCTCGTTTGTGGCCCTATCACACTTTATCCCATATCAGTTCTTCAAAATATGCATCATATTGTTATAACAATAATTTAAAACTTTTAGGAATAGCATTTAACAGTCTAAGTTTTCTAAACCATCCACTTCAATAGGTTAACTTTTAAAACCAACTGCTACACAGGGTCTAGCCTGATTAAATTTGGAAAACTACAGTATAGAATCGACTAGGAATCCTGACTACCCATGTCTGGCCTAAGTCGATGCCCGTCAATGATTACCTTCGTTGTACACGTGGCGCGTAACGGCTCAACAAGTCGGTCCAACCTCTGCAATACTGCACTTGGACAAAGAGTGGAGAGTCTCACCAACATTAAAAACGTCAGCATCTATCAGGAACAAAAAGACAAAATTCCAAATTCTGACAAAGCTTTTAAAAGGAAAATGACTAGCATGCATCATGAAGTTTTATTTTAATGTAATCTGTCATTTAGAAACACACAGATTTGTCTCACACTGTATCTGAGGAATTTTAGTTACAAGTACTAGAGAGACTTCCCTATAACTGGTCCTCAAGTACAGCACCAGAAAAGTGGTTCTGAGTCTTGGCTGTACATTAGAGCTGGGGAGCTTTAGAAATAGACCCATGGCTCAGCCCCGTTCCCGAGACTTTTACTTAATTCTTCATGATAGGGCCATAGAGTCAGTATTTTTTAAAAAGCTCATGTGCACCAGAATGGAAAATCATTTAACAAGAAAACAAGTGAACAAGGAGAAAAGCTTTATAATAAGTTTCCACTGTCTTAGCAGATTTTCCTAAAAAACCAAGAAGACTGGTTATTCAGATTAACCCATATAAAGCCCAGCAACTCATAATCCTTTTTCTCTTAGACTATAAACTGTAGAATCATACAGGAGAATCCTATTATTTTGGGGGGGCTCCCTTCATTGAATTCTGGGAGGGTCAGGCTACAATCAGATATGGAAACAGAAACGTTGGCGTTCTAATAGTACGGCTGAATTACCACTCAACCACCACTTTTCCCTGCTTGACCAAAGGCCTTGAATGGAAGAGCAGAAGAACGAGGCAATGCACTGACTTATTTTTTAAATGACCCTTTTATAGTTCACGTTTAAAACGGACTTGAGGGGCTGGCCCCGTGGCCGAGTGGTTAAGTTCGCGTGCTCCGCTGCAGGCGGCCCAGTGTTTCGTTGGTTCGAATCCTGGGCGCGGACATGGCACTGCTCATCAAACCATGCTGAGGCAGCGCCCCACATGCCACAACTAGAAGGACCCACAACGAAGAATATACAACTGTGTATCAGGGGGCTTTGGGGAGAAAAAGGAAAAAATAAAATCTTTAAAAAAAAAACAAAAACAAAAAAACGGACTTGAGCAAAGAGGAAACAAAGGAGTTACAAGCAAAGTTCATGTTATAAACCTAGGGAGCAATATGATTTCTTTCTAGTTGCTTCTACACAGACTGCTTTGTGTATCTGAAAAACAGTTCTTCCATTTAACAAAAACAGTTCTTCCTGTAACAAAAGTCTTGATATTAAACCCCGTATATTATATTAGAAAACAAAAATCTCTCATTCAGGTAAATAATACAGATATCAGGGAGGACACTCTACCACAGCCAAAGAGAATGAGCCAAGAAAATCATGGGAAATTCAGAACACTCTCCATGGGTAGTGGCTGCAGTCCGATACTAAGAGACAGGCCAAAAGGTCACAGATTATACTTTGAACAGCAAAACCTTCTGGACCTTCTTTTGAGGGAAAGGATCCAGGAACTATGCACTAAGCAAGCTGGTGCAGAGAATTTCTTACAATTTTCCATCCACTGAGACCTAACTTCTTCCTCCAATAAAAAGGTTTCTGGATTTTTCCTCTATGTCAACTTACTTTTACACTGCATCACATGCACACTTTTGCATATTATAGTTTATAACACACTTACTAAAGTCATGACAAGAAAACCAATTTTTCTCACTTAACACAAAATAGTAAATCACAAGGGTATAAGTCACTCGAGCAAAGTCGTCTTCTAAAACATTCTATCAACAGGCACAAACATCTTACCTTAATATCATAATGGTCCTTCAAACCATCTTCAACATGATTTAGAAATTCAAAGATATCTAGTCTATCAAGACAACTGTCTAGAAGAGTGTACATGCACTCAAACGCTGCCTTTCTAATATCCAGGCCGTCGTCAACCGTATGCTTAAATGGACCCATTTCTACCTGTTGAAACAAAAAGGAATGAGCGGACATCCTCACAGGTAAAAGACAAGCTTAGAGAAACAGTGTCATCCAACTAACTCACCTCTCTTATGAGCTCCTTTCTAACTTTCGTCTCGTTGTAAAGATGTGGGAGAACAGCGTCTAGCAGATCCCTTATTAGCGATGGCTTGTTATGTGCTGCTGAATTGAACGTGACCAAGGCTACTCTTCTTACATTTAAATCTGGGTCTTCCAAGGTTTTTAGGAAATCACCTGAAAAATTGTAAGAGAAGCAACTTAAGCTTAAATAAGCTTAAGATATACTACGTATACATTTTATTCTTTATCTAAACTGATAGTTTATTTTTGTTGCTATCACAGTTATTTCTTCAATGCAGGTCACAGCAGAACATGATGAAATCCTAAGCGAACTACAGTTTCTTTCAGCAGCAGGTAAACTATGTCTGAATCAGAGTGGACTTGATAACCTACTCTCAACACCTACAATGCAGAGCGTAGGGAGTGAGAGTCCAAAAAGTTCTCCAATTTATAGATACTTTATAAAACGGTGGGTTGTACAGAGAAGTGGTGGAGCCAGCAGCCCCAAGGATGAATAACTTGAATGATTCTCAGAGCTAAAAACTGGTACTTGCACCAAAAGCAACAAAAATAGAATTTAAAAAACTGAGTTCAAAACAAGATAAACAAGGTGAGGACAGATCCATTGCTTGATAAAGATGAAATACTGTTACCAAGCACATAATTTATCAGATGACAAAGAGAAATGTGCCTCCAAAAGCCCTATTTTTATTTCTATCTTAGATGATAAATAAAATATCGTTTTATTTTGATAAATAAATATCAATAAATATCGATAAATAAAAGGGTAAGAGTAGAAAAGGAGAAAAGGAAACCTAAAACAGGACAAAAAGCTAAAGAAAACACATCGCCACTTTAAAACCAGACATAAGGCAGTTGTTCTTTCAAATGTGGGCAAGAAACTATAATGCAAAGATCTTTGGAGTCACACAGATGGTGAACCAAACCACTTCACTTGTCAACTGTGTAACTTCTGGCAAGTTACTTTGGGCAAGAGCCTCAGTTTCCCAGTTTGCAAAATGAGGACTACAAACATTTTAGGGCTACTGAGCAGAACTGGTAGTATGCATGTGAGAACAGTGTCTGGTACACACCTGGTGGTATTTGTATGAAGCTCCCGTTCCTCATTATGTAATCTCAACCCTGCCATCAACAATCTTTTAGAATACACAGGGGAAAAGAGAGCTGCCAGGAAACCTGAATGCATCACAACATCAATTAAGAAAAATGGGAGTAAAGAAATACTTTAACCACCAGACTGGTAAACTCAAGGCTGACCACTCGGGAAAGTCCCAGCACTGACTACAAAAAAAAGTTTAGGACATAGTTTAGATTCAAAAAGAATTTAAGGGGGCCTGACCCCATGGCCTAGTGGTTAAGTTTGGCGCACTCCCCTTTGGCGGCCTGGGTTCAGATCCTGGGTGCAGACCCACACCACTCGTCAGTGGCCACACTGTGGCAGTGACTCATATACAAAATAGAGGAAGACTGGCACAGATGTTAGCTCAGGGCAAATCTTCCTCAAGCAAAAGAAAAAAAAGACGACGACTGGTGGCAGGTGTTAGCTCAAGGTGAATACTCCTCAGCCAAAAAAGAAAAAAAAGAATTTAAATCTACCAGACTAAACCTCTTTACTCGTTTGTTTAGAATTACTAAAATGATAGATTAGAATAGATTAGAACAATAATCAAAGTATGTATCTACTTTCAGTAGAGCATGTAAAACATTGCTATTATTATGGACAAATGGTGACATGGACTAGGATCAGTGGTGCCCAACTCCTTGATCTAGGAGTTTCAATTTTTAAAAAGCTTCCTAGGTTGTTCTGATGTTCATATAGTCACAAATAATACTGAACTAGATCATCAGTCAATTAGAATGATCATCATCTGACTAAATAACTATACCAACAAGGGACACTGGTTGACTGCTGTCAACCTGGAAAGATGACTCTAGAGACGTGGCACAGGTCTCTTCCTTTGTCCTATCTTGTACAAAATCAAAAATGTGAACTAATACATCGAAGCAAAAAACAGGTGATGGGAACAAAGGCAAGAATCTTCTGACAGAGACTTTCTTTGAATTATTTCTAGGTCCCAGCAATAGCACCCATTTATGCCTGTGTCCCCCTTACCATGAACTGATAATCCCTTTCTGTAGTTCTTTTAAATTATGTTCTTTCCCTTTCTGGCCCTGCAGAATGGCATGAAACTGCAATGCTTCTCTGCCATATCCCTTTATCCCCTTTCTTCTGTCCTCAAGAAAGCATCAAACCGAGTTCTGAAGCTACTACCAACTCTAGGAAAACTGATGATGAAAACAAATGGAAACTGTAACATCATGAAAAATAATCCTAGGGGCTGGCCCAGTGGTGTAGTCGTTAAGTTCATGTACTCCACTTCGGCAGCCCAGGGCTTGCAGGTTCGGACCCCAGGTGTGGACCTAGGGCCACTCATCAAGCCACACTGTGGCAGTATCCCACATAAAACGGAGGAAGACTGGCACAGACATTAGCTCAGCAACAATCTTCCACAAGCAAAAAGAGGAAGACTGGTAACAGATGTAAGCTCAGGGCCAACGTTCCTCATCAAACAAAAAATCATCATCATCATCATCATCATCTTAAAGGTTAATTCTTGTCTTCACAAAAAGAGAGACAGCTCTAGTCTTTCTGGGGTATCTCCTCGTAGTTCTTCTGGGAATTAGCTCTACCCTACTCTATCTTTTTCACTCTTAGGTTGTTTCCACCTTACATATGGAAGTCTCCAGAGAGCCCCTTGGGAGCTGGAGGGTTACAAGTTAAAAACTGAAAATTGGGGCCCTAACAGCTCAAGTGAGACTCATTTATATCAGGGAGAAAACTTCAGACTGGTCAAACAGATCAAATATCTTTTTCCTTTATCGATTAGTTTTTTTCAGGTCATCCCAAAATATGATTATCAAATGACTAGTTGACTCTAAAGACATCTTAGTGTTACTTGCAAAATTATCTCATAATTTCAAACTATGGGATGACAGAATATAAGTATATGAGATCATATATTATCAATTATCTCTTTAATGAAACAATTACCAGACCCTTAAAAGCACTGTAGCTCCTTGGTGATATCTTTAGTTACTGAAATGAGTGTTTGACAATTAACTATTAAATAGTTAATCAGTATGTGTATTTTTGTTTCCACTTACCTATGCAGTTCTTTAGCAGTGGATCAATAGGCTGTGGATGATCGGAAATAGTAAACTTCACAGCTGTAACCACGGAGCTTCGGGCATATGATGAGCCTAATTGAAAATAAATTGTAAGTCGAAGTCCACTAAAATCCATGGACATCTTTATCAGTTTCATTCCACTTGAAATAATATCAGTGTCTTTAATTCTTTAAAATTCTCTTCGGTCAAGAGGAGGATTTCTTATTGCTCTCACGATACTAATGGAGCAAAGTTTACTCAACTCATGAAACATACTCCCAACAGATTTCAAAAGAAACAACTTCTTCTGGGAAGGAGGAGGCCTGGGACGGCAGTAATGGAGGAACTAGCCCTCACAAAAGGGAACTACTTAAATCCATAAACAGCTCATAAGATCTTCAAATTTTTTAGTAAAAAAGAAAGCAATTTCCAAGAATGAGTGGCTATTATTACCTTCTAGTTGGCCTAATGGGGTTGACACTACTAGGATCTTTCATTTGAATTAAGTTCACCAATTTTAGTGTTATAATTTATAGTAATAGGCAAGCTCCTCAGGATATATTATTCAAGAGACACCTTTTCCACATTTTAAGTCAAGAGAGTAACATTAAAATATAATAAACACTAGGAACTAGAACATATTTATTTAACCATATCTAATTACCCTCTTTATCCTTTTGAACACAAAATGGCATCTGAATACGGCTCCATATCATAACATAAGGCAACAGCTTCCACATGTAACAAGATACAAAAATGTTTTAACTTCCTCACTAGGCATCTTTCAAGGCAACCAACCCACTGCTAATAAAACAAGAAAATCTAGCTACCCACCTGATATCAAGTACCCCTTAAGCCGTGGAAGGAGGGTTTCGGGATCAATCAGAGTGAGCTTGCCTAGACATTCAGCAACAACATTTCTGGTTCCTTCTTCTGCACACTCACAATGCTTTAGCAGTAAGGCCCAGATGTTTTCAACATATGGTTTAAGGCCCACCACTGATGCAGAGCTAATAATTTCCTTCAAGGAATGAAGCAGAAGATACTGCCTTTTGGGTTGACTGGTTATTTCTTGTAAGACAAACGGCAGATATTCAGGAAGGTTGCCCACACTAATGCTGCCTAACGCATAGGACGCGGCTGATTTGACTTCTTCACTAGGAGATGAGAAGGCTTCTAATATCACAGATTTCAGTTCCAGCTGCCCACTTAAGTCAATATGATGCCCAACTTCTCCAAGAGAAAGCAGAGCTAAGAGACGAATGGAATCTGTAGACCTTGAGTTCTTGACATCTTGAATAAACTGCCCCACTACAGCCGGTCCTTCTTTAGGGCATGCTCGAGTAAGGGCAGCTACACATTTGGCAATGGAATAATAAGACTGCTTGTGAGTAAGAGCTGTGCTCTGGGAATAAACTGGACCAGTTAGCATGCGCAACAAATCCATGTATCCTAGATTATTTGTTCCAGTAACAACCAGAGCTTGGAAAAAGTCCAGCATGGCGCTAAGAGCTCCTCCCTGCAATAAGGGGGATCTCACAAGTCCAATAAGTTCATTGAGAATGGATCCACTTATCTTTGACAGGGAGGAGGGATACACTTTTGCGAGTGTGGTGAGAAAACTGATAGCCATCTGTGAAACATGCATATCACTTTCGCTGATAAGAGGGGGGAGCTCATCTAGAACTGCATCAATCATGGCAGCTGTCAAGCTGTCACTATAGTTTTTAATTAGAATATCTAGGGCAGAAAGGGTGCCCAATTTCAAAGCTCTCTGGTTTTTCCTGAGAAATGAAGCAAGGATGGGAACCCCTTCTCCCAGGACAGGCCTCAAATCTATCTTCAAAGGTGACCCAGCAATGAGTGTCAATGCCTTCACTGTAGTTAACCGGGTAATTTCATTCTTCAGTCTCTCCAAGAAAATCTGAAGTGTATTAGGCAAGTCAGAACCCAAATTGTCTCCAAGGTTGCAAATAATTTGTCCCATACAGGAAATAGCCCTTTCCTTGACTTCCTGATCAATGTCAGCTGCTTTTAACCTCTTAATGGTACAGGTAAACAAATCTTTGATGTAAGGAGTGGCATCAAATGAGGAAGGCTGATCTAAAGGACGAATGACTTTCACAAGCTGTTGAGTAACAAGAAGTGCTTCAGACGTAATCTTGTAAAATGGGTCTCCAACACAAGCCACCACTGGAGGGACCAAAGCCTGGACATGAAGATGGAAGACTTGAGGAGAGTGGTTACAGAGGATTACGTAGAGACACGACAGAGCATCAATCTTCAAATTTGATGAGCTTGATTTATCATTCAGTGAGAAAATGATTCCTAAAAAGCCAACAAAAATCCAGTAATTTTATGTATAGTTTTATGAAAGAAAAATCAGAAACTAATCCCTAAAATATTGCTAATGTTTCCAATTCATCACATTATCTTCAAAGTAGTAGAAATTCTACAGCCTATGATAAATATTAGAGCCAAATTTTAGGTTAAGATTTTGAACTTTATACTTGCAAATTTCTAACTTTAGGTGTTTAAGATGGTTCCCTCAGAGTTAGTTCATGTGCAAATTAAGTTGTCACAAATTTTCCTTTTAAAGGAAACAATTATTTAAGCTTATCTAAGTCTTAATGAAGTCTATACTAAGACCTGAAAGTGATTTACCATTTCTTTCATACCTGGTACAAGCACAGGAACATGTTGTGTTAGGGCCCCAGGTAACACATTTACCAGTTCAGTTAACATGTTAAAACAGCACTGTCGAGTCTTCACACTTTTTTCTTTCATCTGTTTGTGCAGAGCTTTAACAATGTTGGGAACCTGTAATTATCACACACTCATTAGCTGGTTCAGCTACTGGTATTTCCTCAGTACACTTAACACCAATTACAGGGGACAGGAAAATATCTTTTTTTGTTAAATTTCTAACTCTTCTATCTGCCAACCACTAACAAGATTGTTAGATACACATTCTGTTGCATCTATTACATATGTTCTCTTGTAAGTGTATTTGCTTCATACTGATAAATAAGAAAACAGAGAAAAGCTATCATTAGCTTTCTACAGAGCAACAAAATAGTATTCCCTGATTAATTTTTAATTACAAAGGACTAAACAGAAATTTAACCAAATAATAAAATAACTTTCAATCAAAATTTTACGAGCATAATTTATAAATGGCATTTTCAACAAAAATAGCACAGATAAGCATTAAAGGAAAAAAAGACAAACTATGGAAAAGAAACCATTAAATAGGTCTTTGTTTCTGTTTTTAGTTTGCTGTTACAATGAAATAAACCCAACTTCAAATGTAGCTACAAGCAGCAGGGGTATGATCCAAGGACAGATGTCTCAAAACTTTCTAATGCTTTGTTAGTTGGTAAAACTAAAATAGGGTATTTACTAATAAATTTTATGGATGCCAGGATACAGACACACACCATATCAAACAACGATCTGAGAACTAGAGACAAAAGAAAACACCTATCTAATTCCTCACACCATCATCATAATTTCCTGATTTGACCTGACTGCTATACACTTACTCGGTTGCTTCAGTCCTCCATACACTTTACCTCATTGCTTTCTACAATTAACATTCAAAGTTCCCCTTTAAGTTCACCACAAATTTTTCTCATTTGTACTACTCGAAAACAAGATAGATGTGCTATGTACATCTCCTCCTCTGGTTTAGCTGTTTAGTCCCTCTCAACACCTCTTGTGTCATCTATAAAAATGGACAAATATGTACACCATGGGGCTGCTGTAGGAATTACACATGAGACAGAAAAATTCCTGGCATGTACTAAATATTCACTAAATGGGAGGTATATAGCTCTGTTTAAGATCTAAGAAAAGATGTCCTAAAGTGAAAAATATGCATTTTTTTCATAATAAGAGCCAGCATATCTAAGTACTTTCTATGTAGTAGCCACTACATTAAATGCTTACACAGATCATCTCATCTCTCACTACCTTGGGTAGACAGTTCTAAGTTAACCTTTATTACAAATGAAAAAACGGAGGTTTCATAAAATGACTAAATAACCTGTCCAAGATCACACAACTAAATTAAGAGCTAAGCCAGCTATGAACACAAATAGTCTGACTCCATAGCTCTAAGACTTCTCCATTGGTACCAGGGATAAAGATTACTTTACTGAATCTTAAAATTATTTTAATACTGTTTATCCAGTAAAAAGAAAACTTCATTCAGAGTAAACTAGTTACAAGTAATGTAATATGAACATACATAAACTACTATACAAACATATCACAGAACTCTGTTTCTCTAAAGATGTTCTGGCACTCACATTTACATATAAAAACACAATTTTAAAAGATCACATTTACTTGCATGACACCGACCTGACTCTGAAGCATTGTTAAAGGTGTTTCTCCTTGTTCCATTGCATCAGGGTCACATAGCCAACTTTGCACAGGACGAGTTTGCTTCAAAAGAGAAAGGTATGCATGAAAAACATCTGCCTTTACGTTCTCTTCTCGTTCTTTAAATCTGGATATCAGTGCAGGAGAGACGGTCTTGTAGAATTCTGGAAGCATTTCATGCCTTGTGCTAACTACAGCATCCAAGCACTTAGCAGCTGCACGTCTCACTTTCCAACTCATGTCATCGTCGTCACTGTATTCATCATCACTCCCTAAAGAGAAGTTTTAATGTTAACAGGCTATCAAGTTTATCATTCAACATAGGAAGTGAACTGACATTCACAACTAAGGCAGTTTTCTAACTTTCCACTAACATACACAGCAGTAGATAAGCTTAAAAAGACCCAGAACTCAAACAGATGCAGTGTACTTATGTAAATTTACACATAAATTAACCTCTACAGAAAAATGATCATGACTGTTTTTGTCAAACATTTTCTCATTTATTGTGGGTAATGAGCTGCTTATTAACCCTTTAAAATCATTAATTAACACATAAAACTTCTTTAGAACAAAAATATTTGTAAAATCATAAATGTCCCAGCCTTTTAAACAATATGAATAGAAGTTCATTGACACTAGGAAAATTACACAATCGGAGAGTTAAGATAAACTATGAAACCGATTTGTGGCTATAGATGATGTGATAAAAAGAATGGTTTTCAGTCCCAGGATGTGTTGTAGAACTACCTTTCTGGGAGGAAAAAGAATCCTGAAATCTACTTTCTTGGTGACTACAAGGTTTTTCACTAAATTTGCCGATGGGCTATTAGGAACAAATATGCACATGCTCAACCTTTCAAGATATTGCATTGTTTGAGGCCAGCCCTGTGGCCTACTGGTTAAGTTCGGTGCACTCAGATTCGGCAGCATGCGTTCGGTTGCCAGGCCCAGATCTAGACCACTTGTAAGCAGCCATGCTGTGGGGGTGACCCACATACAAAAATAGAGGAAGACTGGCACAAAAGCTAGCTCAGGGTGAATCTTCCTCAAGCAAAAAGAGGAAGATTGGCAATAGATGTTAGCTCAGGGTGAACCTTTCTCAGCAGAAAAAGGTATTACATTGTCTTAATGTAGTATAAAGAAACTCTACTTTCCCAATTACAACAAGAAAATTCTGCCCACATAACAACAGAGCGCCATCTTCTCCAAAGTCCTGTTAAACATTAAAACAATATTCCAAGCACAGTCATTAACAATTCCATCTCACTTATGTAGAGTTGATAACCTGTGTGTGTATATACTCTCTGAAAATTATTTCCTTCTAATACCATGAAGCTGAATCAGCTGGGTAACATGAAGTCAGGAGGACGGCAAAAATATTAGCAGTTCTCAGGACACTCTAAAATTATCTAAGAATAATTTTGTCATTCTTAAGTAAGACCATAGCATTGAAATGATTCCTCAGCGAAGGAAAAAAGATGTCATTTCTACACTGGATTATATTCCAATTAGCTTAGTGACTGCTAAAGTAGCCAGCTATACTTTAGAAAATCCTAGGATATACAATCAAATTTTCCAATCTCCAAAAGGTTTACTTAATTCCACTTAGCACATTATAAGAAAACCCAACCAAATACTGCTAAACCCAAAGCATCTAATTTATTCACCAGTAGCTACTGGAATAAAAATTACAAGGTCCTATCAAAATAAAATAGACTATTTAAGAGCAAATAAATAAATGAACTTTTTCCCATGGCAACCCAGCTACGGGAGTTACTTTCCAGAAATATACTTTATTGAAAAAAAGGTTATAAAAAATTTAACAAATATCCTAACCACTGAAATTAGGTTGATTTCCTAAGTTACTCCAATACTATGGCAGAAAGATAATTATTAGGTATAATCCATGTAACCGATAAAGCAGCTGAAGGACTTGATTTGTATTCAACCTAAGTACTTAGCACACTAAAAACCAACAATCAACACCTGGAACATATACTGTTAATGCTTTTTCCAAAGGATATTCCTGTTATAAGCTAAGGTTTCCCTTCACTAATGCAACATATTTACTGAATCCCTACTGTGTGTCAAGCACTGTCCTAGGCACTACGAAAAAGCAGGCAATAAAAAGACTAAAATTAAAATCTCCGCCTTCATGAAGCCTATAACCTAGTAGGTGGAAAAATAATTATGTCAGAAAGTGATTAAGTGTAATGAAGAAAATCAAAATGCTGAAAAGGGCAATAAGAGGATGAAGTAGGGGAAAACCCTGAGATGGGGGACTGGATTAGGAGGTGTGTGAGAGTGTGTCATCAGGCATAACCTCAACCTGTTTGGCCTGAGAAACTAGGAAGAATGGAGGTGCCATTCTGAGATGGAAAAGGCTAAAGAAACAGGTTAGGCAGGAGATGGGGGAAAGGTGGAGAGAAGATATTTTAGATATCTAAGCAGCAAATCAATTGAGCGTCGCATATATGAACCTGGAATTCACAGGAAAGATCTGGGGTAAAGATAAAATTTGGGGTTTCAGCACACTGGTATTAACGTCAGGAGACTAGGAGAATCAACAAGAATATAACAGTGTAACAGAGAAGTTGAAGGAGTAGGCCTGGAATCTCCAAAGTGTAGTGGTCAGGGTGATGAAGTGGAACCAGCGTGGAGGCCGAGAAGGAGTAATCACAAGACAGGACTAAACCCAAGAGAGAGTGGTAGCCTGGAAGTTACATAAGAAATGTGCGGAGACTGACGACAGGCAGAGTCAAACACGGAGGTCACTGGCGATCTTGTCCATCAGTGGAAGACCCGATTCAGGAGAGAAGACGAGGAGCAACTGGAGAGCGTTCTTTGCAGGAGTTCTGTTGTAGAGGAGAGACACTGGGTGGTAGCTGCTAGCATACAATATGGGGTCAAGAGAGGTTTCTTTGTAGTTGTTTTTGTTTTGTTTTTTAAAAGATGGATGACATAGACTTTAGAGGAAAGTCATTACACAAATTCAAAGAATCAAACTAAAAAGTACTATAAAAATAATCGGAAATCCACCAACCTACATACCTAGTAACTTGCCCATTTAAACGCCTCTATTACGATCCTTTGACACCAGCAAAAACAACTACAGTCCTACACCCTGAATCGCTGCCCCTTTCCAGAGTAAACACCACGAATCACAGCACGCTGACAGTGGTCTCAGAAGCCTCAGACAGAGTTAGATTACTCACAGAAGCTAAACGGAGCCTCCAATAATATTTAGGATTTTTCATGAAAGTTAAATATATATAAAACCAAACTGCTCTGAATGTGTATCTATAGGTACACTTTTTAAAATAACATTCATTATGACCCCTCCTTATAAAAACGCTTTATAAAAAATCTTTAGAATAAAGAACAAAAATCACTTACAAACATGCTAGCCAAGAGAAAAATCTTCAAGTTTTTCCCTGTATATTTTTTAAAAACCGGGACACAGTAATTTTTGCTACCCACTTTTTCACTCAACTTACTGCTTTAAGAAATATTTTTCTAGAACATGATTTTGAAAATGTTGCGTAACAATTCAATACATGGATGCCCCATAATTTATTTAATAACTTGCTACTGTTGAATACTGAGGTCATTTCCATTTTACTATTATAAACAAAACAAACAAACAAAAAACCAAACAGTGCAATTTGGGGTAAGAACCATCTCCGTCTATACCACTGGGTTCTTCAGGAAAATTTAACAAATTCCTTCCATTTAATTTGAAATACCTTGGTCATCATCATCACCACCATCTGCATCCATGGCATTTTCATCTTCATCTTCATCATCATAATTATAATTTGGATCATAGGTAAGATATTTAAGACAAATATTTATAATGGTAGAAACATGAGGATATACTTCCTTAGGACATCTGAAGAACAAAAAAAAAAAAAATCAAAAGCTGTCTTGAATAACTGTACTCCTTGATTCAGTATCAGCCACATTTTGGTTTATTATCAGATTTTTTTCCTTCCCTTTAACACAGCACAGGAAGTGGTCCCCAGCCTTTCAACACCAAGGACCCTTCATCTTTCTCTCCTAGTGGCTTCATGTTTTAAAAAATTTATTTTTCAAACTACTTAATTTTAAGATGAACCTTCCCCCCCACATTCTAACATCTCTGAAGTCAGGATGAGTCTAACAACAAATGGTATGTTACAGTTAACGTGGGGCAGTGCAGAGAGAAATCTGTACATGCTCTATCTTCTCAATTTCTGACTAGAAGACCAAGCCCAGATAAGCATGGTCTTCAGCCACGAAGGTTATCTGTGACAATGCCAGTGCACACTCATCTAGTCTTGGTCTTCTAGCTATGTGCCGAGAAGACAGAACATATACATGCCCAACAATAAAGGAAAGATTTGCTTCTCAATTAAAAGGACATAAAGGAATCCCATAATTTCTGATTTTAAACAAGCTGATATGACTATAAAGCTACTCCTCTAAACCACGGGTGGCAAGGGATCACTGCAGATAAACAGTGAAGTCTCCAGACATAGTGCTACGACACTGCCAATTCTAGCCAAAGACAAAAGTCTGTTATTTAAAGCCATAAATGCACAGTTTTAACTATTACCAAGGTTTCCAAATTGAAAATCACTGCCCTAGAAAAATGGATGTGACAGACGTCAAAAACTGGTGAAAAGACATGAAATACCTTTGCCAAGTTCTTTAAATAAAGTCCTAACAATGAGCAGGAAACATTTCAAGAAAAATGTAAGGACCGTATTTTAAAATATAAGATAATATTCACTTCAAATATCATATTGGCTATCAGTTGTTGCTTAACAAGAATTTAATTAAAACACATCTGAAATCCAAAACTCAATCCTAGCCACCATTAGTAAAACAACCCATTTCTCGTCACCTACCTAATGTAGATCTTAATTATTATTCTATTCTTAAGGAAAATTTTTATTTGAAAAACAGATGTGTTAAAACCTTACCTTCTCACAAATGATTCAAAGGCTTGAATGCAGTACTCTCTCAATTCATCATCATCTACATTACAAAATTTTACCACCAAAGGAATAATCTTCTCAAGGTATTCACCTAAGAAAAGCATACTGGTTCTTAAAAACATTCATTAATTGTTTTAAATTGAAGAAAACTTTAAAATATTTAAACATTTCTTACCTATTCTATGACCAGCTTGCCTACTAATAGCAGCAATACATTGTATGTAGGTTCTTGTTGTTGACATGGAATCATTTTTGGACAACTCTGACAAGAGATGTTCAATAAGATCTACAAAAACTATATTTCCACAGCTCATAACCAGATGGCCAAGAGCAATAATGGTTCTTTTCCTCACTGCAAGTCTAGGGCTGGTCAACTGGGGGAGTAGACAGGTCAGAATTGAAGGATGGAAATTAACAAGAAGTCCTCCTTGCCTTAAAATAAAATAAAAAAAGAAAACAACAATAAATTGAAGATATCTGAGCACCAATGAAATTCTGGCCTCTCATTTCAATGTATTCAAAGAGTAAAAATTTAGATGACACTAAACCAAATTCAGAATGAAAGGAAAACTAAATTCTTACTATCTCTACCAAGGCAACTGAAAACTTGAGCCAAGCGAATGAAGTTTTGCAAGTTGTATCCCTAAACTACCTTCTGGAATCTAAACTTATAACCCGATTTATAGGATATCCAACCAACAAACTTGGGAGTATATCAAAAATAAAAAAAGCATGCCAACGTCACTTTTCCCCTCCCCAGATCTCTATCGATAGCTTTTTCTCTACTACAGCTTTCTGGGGGTTCACGACACTTAAAATCTCCACATCTTATGACCCCCCCGCCTACTGTCTTTCCTCTACACATCTATAGACTAAGTTTCATTGATCATGCTGGTCCAACCCGCTCTTCCAAATCATTTCACAAGTGCGCTTCACTGAGGCAACAGCAGTCAGACATCTCTGTGCCAGGACAGTGCTAGCGGTCAGGTCACACACAGGACGAAGAGTCCAACTGAATTCTCACCACTTACCAATTAAGTATAAATTCCTCGCCCTCCTCACCATGACCCCACTCTATCAGAACGATTTCCTACAACTTTTCCATTCATTCTATGTTCTGGAAAACTAGAAGACAATGTTTCCCAACTCCAAGACTACTTATGTTGATACAGCCTATGCCTGGGCAAGTCCATCTGTGCCCTACCCATTCTTCCAAACTAAATTCAAACGCCACTCTTCCCGTAACAAACTTCCTTGGATCCTTCCATTTTCAACCTCAAAACACACTATACTTCCAGTTAGTATTTTGTCCCATTCTGCCTTACATTATAGCCATTTGTGTTCTTATCTCCTCTAGTAAAGTAAAAGCTCTTTGTGGGCCAGGAGGATAGCTCCTCACTTGACTCTAAATATGCACATGAAGGCACTTGATTATTTTCAAGTTAAAGTGAATTAACTACATGAAACACACCAATAATGATGATGTATTATTATGAGAATCAGGGATAAACTGAAATCAACGGGTCTTCTAAGGTATTTTTACCTAGGATTTGCTTAGATCTTTCTATCTTTCCAAGTTTGACTTCCAGAGAAGTAGAAAAGTGACAAATATATAAAGCCAAGCTGCTTCCTTCCCCGAAACACGCAGTATAAACAGGCTGCTACAGTTTACCAGCATTATTTTAACTGGAAAATTTGTTACTCCTACTGGCACATCTCCGTATCTAAGTAGATCATCATATTCAAGAAAATAAGAGTTAAACCAAACATAAAAACCAGGGGCCAGCCCCAGTGGCCTACTGGCTTAGTTCAGCACGCTCTGCTTTGATAGCCCACATTCAGTTCCCAGGCAAAGACCTATACCACCCTGCTACCAGCCATGCTGTGCTGGCAGCCCACATACTAAAAGAGGAAGACTGGCACAGATTTTAGGTCAGGGCAAATCTTCCTCAGCAAAAGAAAAGCCAAAAGACATAAAAACTGTGCTATTTAAATCACAAATATTTAAATGGCAAATTTCATTATTTTTCAAAAACTACAAAAAACATGCTTGCTATATGCAATATTACATGATAAATATTATTATTTTATTTCTCCCCTTGCCCCTAACCACACACATTTGTAAAACAGTCACGATTTAAACATGAATAATTTTAGACCAACTTTCCTTATATTTACCAGGGAGATTTTTAATAATTGCCCATAATACTTGTATTATAAGTGATACGCATGTTTACCTGCTCAACATATCAGCCATAATATCCAGGGCTTCCAGCTGAACAGAGACGTCTTCCTGTTTTGCTATTGCACTGGTGAGACGCCCAGTGATCTTTTTACACACATTAGCAGCTAAGGCAGAGCCTGCATGAGTAAGAAACCAATGACAGTTTCAAGGCAAGTGTGCTGCATTCCACCTTACATTCATGCTAGTCACCAAACAGTCAACAACTCCAAACTTGATTATGAGACTGACTCAAGAGATCCATGTCAGAAAAATACGTATTCCAAAACAGGTTGTTTCTCAATACCATAACTTATTAGACATTAACAAGAATTAGAGATCACAGCTGCAGACACAGGGAAGACACAAGCATCTCTATGCACTAGCATGAGCGCTGGCTAGAGCCAGGGGCAGCTATAGTGCTTGCACCTCCAGACTGGAAAGCAGCAATGGTATTTCTCTCCATCTGAGTCCTTTTTACTAGTAACCTAGACTTTTACATTTCAGTGAATTAAAAACCAAATATATTCTGAGCTCCAACAATTAACTTGGCTTCTTCAAAAAAAAAAAAAGCTGCAATCTCTAAAAATATCCTTTCCAATTCAAAGATTCCATAACTTCACTATAAAGTAGAAACGCTGTTCCAAAGGGCTCATAAATCAAGGCTATTACTATTTTATTTTAAAGTCCTTGTCATTACTGACAAGTAAGAGAAAGAAAAGGAACAAGAAACTGTGAAAGTGAAAATCTGAATGGTTAACAGAATTCTTGTTAGAACCAGAAATAGCTAAAAACATGTTTCACTGAGAAAAAAACTAAGGAAAATAGCAACATAGCTAATATAATTACAAACAACATAATTACAATAATATAATTTATAATAATATAAACAAACATAATATAATTACAAATAACCAACAGAGTTGGTGAGATATTTTACTGAAATAACAATTAATAAGGGTAAAGTAACACTGGTATGATACAGTGGGAAAAGCATCAGCCTTGGATTAAAAGATAATGGATCTGAATCTTCACCCAACCAGGTAATCCAAAGTTTGGGTGAACTAACCTCAACTCCCTGAATTTCGGTTCCCTCATCAACAAACCAGGACTATTCAGACTTCCCATATGGCTGTTCAAACTAAGTAAAATAATGCACATGAAGCATCTGGCATGATAGCTAGCATAGTGAATGATTAATAAATATTTATTAAGTAAATGAGTGAAAACTACATACCCAGACTAAATTATCACCACTACATCTTTCCATGAAACAGGAAGACGATAATTTCACCTCATTTGCAGATGAGACAATAGCTTTTAGCCTGCTGATTTTAGCCAACACTTAGTAGTCAAGACTAATTCGATAACTTACATTTTCTAAACATTTCTGTCAGAGGCCAAAAGCTAATTAACTGACAGATTCATCAATTGTTTAAATTTTTTAAATTACCAAGTAGCTGTAAAAGGCTCAAACTTAATTAAAGACACTAGTAAAATGAACTATTTATTTCACAACTGCCTTAACTGTGTTAAATTTTACATCATAAATTCTAATGCAAAGCAAAATTAATACTGACAATAGAGAGCTAATCAGAAATAGCTCATGATTCTGGCTATCTTTCCCCTCACTGCATACACTGGCACAACTCTATTCTGTAGTCACAGCACATACGACAATATAAAATCTTGCTCCAACATAAAAATCCTTCAGAACTGGTATTCCTGTTATACTTAAATTCAATCAATATAATATCCATTTAAAACTGAAAATTCAATTTATAATTAAGCAAAAATAAGACTCCAGACTTTTTTCCCCTTAATGTCCAAAGGGATGTTCACGAGATCTTTCAGAATAGACACCTCCCCACTCCCTGGCCAGGAGGAAAACAGCGTGGAAGAGAAACAGCTCCCTATGAAGGGAGAGGGAGACCAGGCACTCTCGCTTACCACTGGACGCCGGGGGAAGCTCTCCAATGACTGTTTTAAGGCCAATACTTGAAATATCTCGCAGTTGTTCTTTATCAGAAAGCATGTTAGTGCAGAGGGTATCTACAATTGTCTCTACTTGATATTCTTTCACTTTACTCACTAAAGGGCCAAGACTGTAATATAAAGAAGAAAAAACATTTTTAAATCAACATAAACACAAACAGAAAAATAGACAAATAGAAACATTAACTTTTCTGCCTAGCAACTGTCAACACAAAGTAAACACACTACACCTGTGTCATAAACGGTATATGAGTAAGAGGATGAAAGAAATTCTTGATTGATAAGCTCCTTGCAATTGGTTTCCAATTTTTTTCCCACTGATTTCCATCATAGTGTAAGGAAACTTAAGATGCTTTCCACCTTCCCCTTTCAAATATACAAAACTTTTTTTTAAGTACGTGCTTTTTTTTTTTTTGGTGAGGAAGATTGGCCCTGAGCTAACATCTGTTGCCGACCTTCCTCTTTTGTTTTTTTTCCCTCCCCAAAGCCCCAGTACGTAGTTGTATATCCTAGTTATAGGTCATTCTAGTTCTTCTATGTGGGATGCTGCCACAGCATGGCTTCATGAGAATTATGTAGGTCCACAGCCAAGATGCAAACTGGTGAACTCTGGGCCGGCAAAGCAAGGTGAGCCAACTTAACCAATGGGCCATGGGGCCAGGGCCACAAAACATTTTTTTAATAATAATCAGGTTAGTTAAGGAGTCTGCTTCTAACAAAAATTCTACGGATTACCTGCAATGGAAGTTCCATCCAATACACACTTTGCCAACTCTGACCCTTCTTATCATCTATCACCAACTCCATCTCATGAACCAAAGAATTTATAGTCCTCTTATTTTTTTGAATTTTAAAAGTGTAAAGTAATTGGTGGCAAAAAGCAAACAAGTCAGCACTCCTCTGTGGTCCCAAAGCCTTGCATTTGCCTTTCATATTAGTTATTTTATATTGTTATTATAGGTTTGCATGTACGTCCACTGGTTGAGGATAGAGAAAAGCCCTTCTCACAGAATTCAGCACACAGAAGGTAATGTTTAGTGCACAAATATTCACTGAGGAGGCACTGTATTCAAGGCTGTACTGAATTACAAAAGTATGGCCCCTATTCCCAAATATTTACCATCTGGTTGGTGAGGTAAGGAATCAGAGAAATACTCTGGAAGTGAATTGAAAGCATTCACTACTCTCCCTTTTTTTGTTTTTAACTTTTATATTCAATGTTAGTATTTACAGGACAGGAGATTGCACCTAAGAAACAGATTTTTAGGTACTGGGTTTTGACGGGATACAGTCAGAAAAGGAGAGCATTTCAAATGGAAAGATCAGAGACCAGAATGAGTGGAATGCACAGTGAAAGAAATGAGAAGTGCAAAGAGCTGACTGACACCAAAGGCAGGTGAAAATGCTGGCAAGGAGGCGCCGGGGACATTGAGGAGAACCTCTGAAGTCAGGCCAACGAAATCTAAATGTGATGTAAAATGGGAGCCAATGCATTTTCTCAAGCATAAGTGAAGGATAAAGATAGTTTAATTTGATAAATGCTCAGATCAATGCTTCATATATAGGTTCTTAAAAAATAACTGCTGACTAACCGCTTAACAAGCGAAGTAGTAGGCAGTGCAATTTAGAGAGAATTAAGAGGAGAAAGCAAGAAAACAGAGAAGTTGGAGAAATCCAAGAATACCCAATCCAAAATGATGGCAGTGACAACAGAGAAAAGGCATATATGCAGAGAGACGTAATGGGAAACGATGAAAATTGGGAGTGAAAATGAAAAGGATTTCAAAAATAAATTTAAAGAGTTCTAGATTCCAGTAACGGCAAAACAGCTTTGTTGGACTAACCCTCCCAGAGGTAACAACCGTAAAATCTCTAAAACTGCATTTTAGAAAACAACAATTTCAATGCCAGAGAATGATGGAACTAAAAGCAGATGGGGAAAAAATTTCTACCTAGAATTTCAGTGAAATTACCTTTTAAAAATGAAGACAAATTAAAGACTATTCCAGACAAAAACTGAGAATGTATCTCCACCAGACATATACTACAAGAATTGTCAAAGGAAGTTCTTCAGGCTAGAGGAAAATTAAACCGGACGTAACTCAGATTTACAGAAAGGAACAAAGATCACCAGAAATGGTAAATGTGTGTATACATAAAAGACTATATTTAAAAGACCGTACATTTTTTCTTCAAAGTATTACTGTATTATGAAAATACACATACAAATATAAAAAAAGCTACAATAGCACAAAGACAGGAAGGAGGCAAATGGAAAAATGTTACTGTAAGATTTACATAATTTATATCAAATGGCAAAATATTAACTCTTTCTTAGCAGACTGTGATAAATTTAAGATGCAATTTATAATCCCTGGCCTAAAGTGACAATTTAAAAAAATAATGTAAAGAGATATATCTAAAAAAGTCAAAGGAAATCAAAATGAAACATTATAAAACAGTGATTCCCAACTTTTTGGTTTCAGGAACTCTTCCAACACTTTAAAAATCAACAGAGACCCCAAAGAACTTTATTTTTTGCAGTTGTATCTGTCAAAGTTTACCATATTAAAAATTAAAAGTAACAACAATAAACCCATTACATGTTAACATAAATAATAACATTTTTAAGGAAAACAACTAAATTCTCCCAAAAAAAGAAGTAAAAAAAAACACCACTGTTTCTACATTTTTACAAGTTAATGTTTTGGCTTAAAAGAAAACCACCAGATTCTCACATCTGCTTTTGCATTTGATGTGTTGTGGCATCATATGTCATGTGGCCCCTGGAAACTTCTACTGAGCACTTATGAGAAAATGAGAGTCAGGGAAAATAACACCTTAGTAGTATTCACAGGATAGTTCTGACACTTTCAGGGTTACAGACTGCCCCTGGGGACCCTGGATTAAACTCTGAGAACTGGTGCTATAAAATATCTGATTAACCCCAAAGAAGGAAGAGAAAAAACCAACAATAAAAACCACAACAACAACAAAATAAACAAATAGAAAACAAGAAGCAAAAGGGCACACCTAAATCCAACCAGATCAATATTTACAATAAATGTCAATGGACTAAATAAACACTCCTAAACGGCAGAAATTATGAAACCAAACAAAAGAAAAAAGCAAGGCCTAATGATCTGCTGTCTACAGACACACAACTTAAAAATAAACATATTAAAGCGATAGAAGAAGAAAAATACACATGCAAACACTAATCTTAAAAATGCTGGTTATATTAAGATAAGAGAAAATGTATTTCAAGATAAGGTGTGCTTAAAGGAAACATTTTATACTCATCAAAAGGTCAACCATCAGGGGGCGGCCTAGTGGCTGAGCAGTTAAATCTGCGCTCCGCTGCGGCGGCCCAGGGTTTCGCTGGGTCGGATCCTGGGTGTGGACATGGCACCACTCATCAGGCCATGCTGAGGCGGCATCCTACATGCCACAATTAGAAGGACCCACAACTAAAAATATACAACTATGTATCCAGGGGGCTTTGGGGAGAAAAAGGAAAAATAGAGTCTTTGGGGGAAAAAGGTCGACCATCAGGAAGACACAATTATAAATATGCGGGCACCTGGTCACACAGCTTGAAAATACATGAAGCAAAAACTGGCATTAAAATTAAAGAGAAAATCAGATAAATGGACAATTACAGTTGGGAATTTTAACACCCCTCTCTCAGTATTTAGTATCAACAAAAGAAAAACATCACAAAGGATACAAATCTGAACAACACTATCAAATCCCCTGAGCTGACACTCATAAAACATTATCGCCAACTACTGCAGAACACGCTTTCTCTCCAGCGTGCACGGAACGTTCACCAGGGCCTACCGTACGCTGAACCATAAAACACATCTCAATAAGTAGACTAAACAAACCCAAACACACCCTGAAATCTTAACAGTATTGTTCTCTGACCATAATGCAATTAAATTAGAAACCAGTAAAAATAAAAACAAAAATCCAGATAACCTCCGAATATTTGAAAATTGCTTCTAGACAATTTTAAGAATTAGAAGGGAAGAAAGTGAGTAGAAGAAATAATAAAAGAAATCAATAAAATAGGCAACAGAGAAAATTAACCCTAAACTCAGTTCTTTGATAAGATTAAAGTTGGTAAGTGCTTAAATTAGATGAATTGAGGGAAAGAGACAGAAAACACAAATCACCAAAATCAGGATTGAAAGGGGATACTCACTGATGAAGATTATTTGGGTAGAAAATCTTGAGGAATCAAGAAAAACTACCGTAACTAATAAGTAACTATGAGATACTATGGTTCATAGTTAAAAGATTCAGTATTGCAGGGGCTGGCCCCGTGGCCAAGTGGTTAAGTTCACGCGCTCCGCTGCAGGCGGCCCAGTGTTTCGTCGGTTCGAATCCTGGGCACGGACAAGGCACTGCTCGTCAGACCACGCTGAGGCAGCGTCCCACATGCCACAACTAGAGGAACCCACAATGAAGAATACACAACTATGTACCGGGAGGCTTTGGGGAGAAAAAGGAAAAAATAAAATCTTTAAAAAAAAAAAAAAAAGATTCAGTATTGTTAAGATGTTGATTATCTTCAAATATTTCTACAGCTTCAACAGAATCCTCAAATTAGAGCAAGTTTAGTTTTTTAAAAATAGAAATTGACAAACTGTCTGAAATTAACATGGAGATACAAAGAACTTAAAAAATCAAAACTCCTGGGAAAGGAAGAATGAAGCTAGAGAACTTACACTACCTTACTTGAGACCTGTACAGATCTACACCGGCGTTTCTCAACCAAGGGCGATTTTTACAGTTCAACAGACATTTGGCAATGTCTTGAGACATTTTTGGCTGTCACTACTAGGTGAGGAAGGAATGCTTCTGGCAAACAGTAGGTAATAGCCAAAACCCTGCTAAACATCCTAGAACACACAGAATACACAGGATAACTCCTCACAACAAAGAATGATCTGGCCCAAAAAGTCAACAGTGCCCAAGGCTGAAAAAGCCTGAGCTAGGCTAATAAAGTAGTGTTGTACTGGCATTAGAATAGACAAATCAGTGGGACAGAACAGAGACTAGAAACAGACCCACACTTTTATAGTTAATTGATTTGTGACAAAGATGCCAATGCAATTCAGTAGGGAAAGGAAGTGTTTTCAATAAATGGTGCTTCAACAATTGGATATTCACATGGAAATAAAAATGAACTCAATTCCTACTTCACAAAAATTAATTCAAGATAGATCACAGGGCTAAAGTAAAAGCTGAAACTATAGGGTTTTAGAAGAAAACACAGGAGAAAAATCTTTGCAACATAAGCTAAACAAAGATTTCTTAGGACACAGAAAGCAATAACCATAAAAGAAACATTGAAATTAACTTATACATTAAATCAAACTAAACTAAATTTAAAACTAAAAAACTTAAGCTCATCGAATTGGGAGGAAATATTTACAAAACATTCTCTGTCAAAGGACCTATATACAGAATACAAGAACAACTCCTACAATTTGATAATAAAAAGACAAACACAATTTTAAAAATTGGGAAAAGTCCAAAAAAATAAACGGTCAATAAATATACGAAACAGCACTGGACATCATTAGTCATCAGAGAAATGTAAATTAAAACCACACCTGTACACGTACTGGAACAGCTAAAATTAAAGAGTGATACAACCAAGTGTTGGTGAAAATATGAAGCAACTGGTACTTTCATGTAAAATGGTACAAATAGTTTAGGTAGGAATTTGGCAGTTTCTTAAAAATCTAAATGGACAACAGCAATTTCATTCTTAGGTTTTTATCCATAATAAAGACAGACACATGTCCTAAAATAAACTCATACAAGAATATTCACTGTATCTTTATTCAGAATAGCCAAACCCTAGAAAGAAATTAAATGTATAAACAGACTGTGGTATCAATGGGCTATTCATGTGGTATCATGAAATACTAATATACCCAACACTGATGAATCTCACAGATGTTAGGCGAGCGAAAAAAAAAAACAGACACAAAAGAGCACATACTGTATGATTCCATTTCTCTGAAGTTCTAGAAAAGGCAAAACCAATTTAAGGTGAACAAAACAACAGTGACCTTCAGTAGCGGTGTTGTATGTGAGGTAAAGATACAATTTTATCTTTTTCAAACGGTTATTCAATCTTTTGGAAAAAAGGTCCAACTTGTCTCCAGTGGTGCCACCTTCATCGTGTACTTTCCACTCCATTTTACTCCACTGCTCTATTAAGACCTCATGACCTCACTGCTTTGAGTAGAGAAACATCATAGTATGTTTCTATAGTAGGGCTAACCAACACCCCTCCAACTCCAGCAATTGTTTTAATTTTTCAGGACTTTCTTGGCTATCTTTGGCAAACACCCTGCCCCGCTTCTTCCTCCCACCAAAATGTACCTTGGAGTCAATTTTCTAGCTTGGGGAAAAAACTTACTGATTTTTACAATTAGCATTAAATTAACCTGAAGAGAACCGACAACCTGGTTACATTATCTTATCCAAGGACATGGGATGTCTTTCCATTTGTTCCAAGTACATTTGTTTCCAAGTACATTTTTATCAGTCAAGAGTATTTTAAAGTTTTCCTTCTATAAGTTTTGAAAAAGATAAAACTGTAACCTTACCTTATACCATACAACACCCTCAATCAAGGTCACCACTGTAACATTTCTTGTTAAGTTTATTTCTAGGCATTTTGTCTTTCTGTTGCTGGAACAAATGAACATTTGCTTCCATGATATCTTCCACTTGGTTATTATTTGCCTATTTGAAAGCGACTGATTTTTTGTTATTTACTTTTATATCCTATTAATTCACTGAATTCTTGTCTACATTAAATTTTTTTCTTGATTAACTTGATTTTTCCCATGTAGACTTTTCAAATTCTCATGCATCTAATTTTTCCCCACTTGTCTTACAGTGGCTAACACTTTCAAAAGAAACACAGTGGAGATAGACACACATCTTTGCCTTGTTCCTGATGTTAGCGCAAAGGTATCTGGTAATTTATTGGCTTTTGGGCTGAGGTATAAATGTGCATGTTTGTGTACTTTTAATGTTAAAAAACATCCTACCAATTCCGTGTTATTAAATGTTTTACTTGAAATAGGTGATGAATTCTCTCCAGTTAGATAAAGTATCCCTGGCCTTTTCTTCACTCTAATGACACATTAAGGATGATGCTGGCTTTTGGAAGGTATTTCACTCTAGACTATACTAAGTAGCCTAAGTGTTGAGGTTTTTTAATTTTTTTTTTAAATCAAGCATCAATGCGGAATCTTATCAGCACCTTGACAAATAACCAGATAGTTTTTTCTTCCTCTGATCTATTAACATGATGAAATGAACATATTAATGAAGCACATAACACTGAACTGCCCTTATGTTCTCAGGATGAAGCACACTTGGTCATGGTGTGTTACACTTAACACACTGCTGGATTTTATCTTGAACATTTAAAATGAAACTGGTCTGTAGTTTTCTTTTTTGGTGTTCTCTTTAGTCAGGATTTGTTATCAGTATTCAGTTTACATAAAAGACTGAAAGGTTTTCATGCTTTATGTACCAGATTAGCAATAGAAGTATCCGTACTAGAACTGTCTGTTCTTCGAAGTTTCGAAGACTCATGTAAAAGATTTCTGAGCCTGAGTTTCTTTTGGGTGATGAGTTCTTCGACAACTTTCCCAATTTCCTGATAAGGCTACTTAGTAATTCATCTATCTGTCAGGATTTTCCCTCCTCCAAGAATTAGCTCTTGGATTTCAACTCCTAATATATTACTTTTGCTTATATCTTAATTCCTTTTTAATTTTCTTTAATATATGTCATTTCTTCCCCCAACCAGTTAATTATAAGCATAAAAGATCATCAAAAAATCAAAAGCTCAGGTTCCTAATGAGTAAAGATTCATACTCAAGTGATTACGACCAATGCACCTCTCAACTCTCAAACTGGGACAAAGACTACATTATCATTATTATGATAATGATACATCATATCATTATCATTATTAAAGGCTGGTAAATGTTTGCCATGTATTTTGAACAAAACTTAATCTTGTTTACTAAACACAGGGCAAACGAAAGAATTAAAAAATGAAAAATAATTAAAATTATAGATTCATTTGCATTATTCTGCAACTTACCATTTTCTGAAGACCCATTTTATTTTAAATTTGCAAATGTCCCAAGTTAAACAAAGTTGTCCTGTACATCTATAAATTCTATACTGACCAATGATTTCTCACGTTTTTGCTTGCTTTTACAGCAGGTATGTAAAAGCTTAGCCTAAAACAAATATAAAGCCTTTATTAAAAAATCCAATAAAGGAGTAATGAGACAATGCTTTATTTGAATTAACGTATCACATAAAATTCTATAATTTAATTTTTATATGACACTGAAGGTTATACTTACAAATAACTTACTACGTAAATTGTTAAGGCTTTCTCAAATGTGGTATGCATAATTTAAATAGATACGTCAATAGAATTTACTGAGAACTCAAATTCTGTACTTTATTACTAAGAATAAGAGTCCAACAGTCAATATCATGCCTAACAAGATGCACCTACTGCATTGTACACACAAGGACAACTGGAATTTCCACGATTTGTAGGAAAGATCCTTTTTAACTATTATATCATCAGTGTTGATTTGTGTTAACCACGGTTTTAACTGCTCCTATCTATTCTTCATTAGGTCTTATTATTTTTTACTTTCCTTGATTATTGGTTCTTATATTTTGACCCCCTCCTTGGAATACAGAGATGAATAGAGGCAGGCAGGTCCTTTAACCCAGCTAAAACAGCAGGTTAAACAAACGAGAGAATCACTTTTTCTGGAGTTTCCTACATGTACTTCATAAGAATTAAATGAAAGCTACGTTTAGTCAACAGAGAAACTATAAGGAAATGTATCATATGTACCAAATACAAACACTAAGCATTCATCAATCACCTACAAATTCTAAAGAAAAACTCCAGAAAGACATAGTACAAGCCTAGGATAATTTACCAATTATTACACTGAGTTTTTTAACAGGAGTGGAAGGGGTGAGAAGCAAGGAAAAAACAACTTACCATTTGACAGCTAAATTCTGTACCTCTCCATTTTTATCTTCCAGTAACTTCAAAATCATTTTCACTACTTTCCTTTCACTATCATCATCCAACTTGATGGAATCTTTCTGAAGTTCCGTCATCAAATCATTTGTAGCCATAAACCTATCAAAAAAATTTCAATTTGTCAATAATTGAAGATTAAGCATTAATTAAAAAGATTACAGCTTCCAAATCCAATGCCGTCATTCCTATCTATCTATCTAAGTCCTGATACACTCTTTTAAATAAGGTTTCATTACCCCTAACTGTCTTCCCCAGGTTAGTCTTGATTTCAAATTTACTGACAGGATCTACAGGGAGTGCTCTTTCATTCTAATTAATTGTATCACTGCTTTTAGGGGGATAAAAGCTCCTCTTTACTTTTTCTCTGCACAAGATTTGAATTATATCTAGGAAGCCTTTAACTATGAACATTAAGAATAGTTTCCTGTGTAATATTGTGTTTGCTGGATTGCCGGTCATATATCAGAAATTAATGGAAAATATCCAAAATACAAATTCTCACCTCCACCCCCAACTCCCACCACCAGGTATGAGAGGTATTTTCAAAATGATGAAAAGGTGATTTTAGAAAGCTGTTCCACTTGACACTGAGCCCCCTCCCCTTAAGAACCACAGCCAAAGGAAGGTTTAAGACTGAACAGCCTCACAAAAAACCCAGAATGATTAACTGTCTCATCTCAGCTTTTAATGAAAGGGTTAACAGGAGATAAAAATAAGGTAAATAGACTCAGAGTTTTTCCTCACATACCTCACCAGACAATTCATTATTTTAAAAGTAATTCTCAAAATATTAGATAATCACAACGAAATAAAGCCCCAAAACCTGTTTAAATGCATTTTTCTCATAATTCTTGGCTCACCTCCTCCTACTGAAATAATCTAACTGAAATAACAACTACTTAATGCCTTTTCCTTTTATTTGAACCAGATCCAGTTTGAGTAAAAATTTATTATTTTATGTTACACACAGAAATGCCAAAATCCATGTTTAAGTCAATTAAAAAAACAACTATTGGAGCTGAAATGATAAATAACTGTGCAGATAGCCAGGCAATAAGCTATGTGGTAAGGAGTGGCAAAACAACTTAGTAATTTAGCAATTCAGTGCTTATAAGGTAATCTTAAGGATAATTCCAGTAACTAGTATGTTCACTTAATGCTGATTTGACAAAGTTTTAAACGATATGCAAGCACAATTCTTAGCAAGCTTTGCAAAAGCTGCTTATAAAGAAAAACTTATGTCCAAACTGGAATAACACAAGGTAAATTAATTGTACATTTTTTTAAATGCACATAGTTCTCCTAATTGGAAGCCCCTTCCCATTTTATATGATGACAAAACGAATTAAAACCACACAATATTATGGAAAGTAAAAAAAGAAAAACTGAATAGCACACTAATGCAGGCACTTCTACACACAATCATTATAAGTATCTTAACACAGAGAAAATCCATGAAATCACCACAGTAGGTAGGACCTCTGAAAGGCTAACCATCTAGTTGAAGAGAAAACACAGTCATCCAGAATTGAAGTAAAAAAGCAGACAATCTCAATGTAAAAGGTTGTTTTATGGTTCTGAAGGGATTCTACTGGTACACAGATTCATTCCTTTATTTACCATTTATTTATTCACTGCCTATTATTCTACAAAGGCTGGACTATGAGCAAAGGACGGATAGAAGATAAACCAACCTTGGTTCCTGACCTCACAGCTTATATTCTTTTTTTTAATTTAAAGATTGGCACCAGAGCTAACATCTGGTGCCAATCTTCATTTCTTTCTTCTTCTCCCCAAAGCCCCCAGAACATAGCTGTATATTCTAGTTGTAGGTCCTTCTGGCTCTGCTATGTGGGATGCCGCCTCAGCATGGCCTGACGAGCAGTGCCATGTCTGCACCCAGGATCTGAACCAGCGAAACCCTGGTCCACTGAAGAGGAGCACGTGAACTTAACCATTCAGCCACAGGGCCAGCCCCAGAGAGTTTATATTCTAATAAAGAAGTCTACTGATTTTCAAAAGTCTATGATTAATGGTCAAATGTTTTCTAAAAGTTGAAATGAACACCAGTAAAATTATCAATAGACGTATTTTTAAAAAGCAGAAAAATTGCATTGAGATAGTGTAAGGTTGTAAGAGTTACTTTTTACTGGTAGTTCTAAGGATTTCTTCCTTCTGTTAATTTGATATAAAAATTTGGACTATAAATCTTCTTGTTAAGGAAGCTGTTTGACCAGTCTGAACGCTGTCCATGCCAGATTCAAAAGCCAGTCTGTAAAATGTCTGTTACTGCTTTAGGTATGGTGCTAAGGGCTGAGATGACAAATGTAGACTCAGTCTCTCCTGTAAACTTTTTCATCTAATATGGCAGACAGGTAAATGGACAAATCTCAATCTTACAAATTTTTTTAAACAATACTCAAGGGTATTTGGCAATGATCACACCAAAGAAGTGATGGTTAGTTTGAGTCTCAAAGGATTAACAGGGGTTTGCAATGGGAGAAGCTGGTTTGGGATTTTAAATTTTTTATCTTTGTGAGTGTGTGCGGTGGTGGTAAGGAGCACCTCACAGTGAAGGACTAAGAAGCAGTTCGTGTGGCAGGGGCACAGGGAGATAGAAGAAATCGAACAGGAAGAAGAAGGAAATGTAGGCTGAGGCCAAGACAAGAAAAGTCTTACATCCTCGTTCACTATATAGTGAGAATCATTATGTATGTATCAGGTACTGTGCTGGGTGCTGTGGACACAGGGGCTGGCAAATGCAAACAGGATTCCTACTGTCTTGGAGCTTACATTACAGTATACTAGAGGCATAGTAATTTTTAAAACTACACGAGTAATTACATATGTAATTATGAGCTGAGATAAATGCTGTGAAGGAAAGGAATATGGCACAAAGAAAGCACAATGATATAACCAAAGTAACCTGACCTAAACTAGACTGGATTGGGGGTTGTGTATCAGGGAAGACTGAGATCCGAAGCATGAGCAGGAATTTAAGGGGTGGGGGGTGGGGGTGTGGCCAATCAAGGGCCAAGAGATTAAAGAGGTTTGTAGGTCTTAGGATTTTAGTCTTTATTCGAAGAGCAAGGGGAAGCTATTGAAAGGCATTTGGGGGTAGAGATGGGGAGTAAATGGAATGATCACATTTGCATTTCATAAAGCTACACCGTGGATAAGAGTTTGGAGAGAACCCGTCTTCATCTGGCCGGACTGAATGGAGAACAGTTAGTAGAGGGCTCTTGCAGCCATTTAAGTGAGAAATGACAGTAGCCAGAATTAGGGTTATGACAAGCAAGGGAGATGGAAAAATGCAATACAGTCAATTCTATTATTAGCACAGTAAATTTACTTGTAACCCCTCAAATCAATTCTCCATCACTTTCACAGTAATTTCTTGCAGACCTGTGCAGAACCATGAAAACTTTGAGCCACCCATTCTCAGCTGATCTTGAATATGGTAACACTCTGCCTTCTTGTTTCAGCTCTCATACTGTAAACAAGCATCCTCTTCTACGTCCATACAGTGCCACATTTTTTGCATGTTTGTACTTTTTGTTGGCAATTTTGCTGTTTAAAATGACCCCCGAGCATAGTGCCGCAGTGCTGTCTAGTGTTTCTAAGTACAAGAAGGCTGTGATGTGTCTTTCAGAAAAATACAGATGTTAGATAAGCTTCATTCAGGCATGAGGTACAGTGCTGTTGGCCATGAGTTTAATGTTAATGAATCAACATATATTAAATAAGGCATCTTTAAACAGAAACACATAAAACAAGGTTATGAAGCAATCAAATGATGAAAGTGCTGGGACCAGAGGCCCACTGGAACCTAAACCTGTATTTCCCCTAGAAGCAATGGTTCAGTATCACTAATTCAATATTCATGGCAACCTTACAGAACATAACTACTGCAAATAATGAGAACCAACTCTATTTGAGATTTACAAAGGTAAAATTAATAGGCTGAAATGGATTGGATATACAGATGGTAAAGGACGAGTTAGGAAATGGACAAAGGAGGAGAAAAACCACAGGGCTTGGGTGTTACAGTCTGGTATGTATCCTGTCCAGAGTCTTAATGTTATTAAACAGCCACTGTCACGTCAGATGGTTCAACCACTCATCTAACAACAAAAGGAGAAAGGATTAAAAACCCTGGTTCAACTACAGACGGCCTTGAATGGCCACTCCTCTGATCCTAATCAACAAAATCTCAGCAACAGTGAAGCTGTGAACTTCATATGTGAAGATCATAAATTAATGTCCTGCAACCCAACTTTGTCTGCCCTTCACCAAAAGTGAGAAATGAAAAAGGGGAAAAAAAAAGCCCCTGCAGTCCAGGAACTGAGGCTCATACCTAAATCTCAATATTAGTCAAACTGATCTGATGCTTACAGCCACAGCATATTGTTGATGTGGACATAAACCACCTCACAGAACATCCATTTCAGACAAGTTCACTTAGCAACACAAAATGCCAAACATCCTCCTCTCTAAATGAGTAACTGATACTTCTTCACCAATTACAGCTTTTCCTCTGCTTTAGTTTGCCCTCCCTATAACATTAAGATGTCAAATGACAGAACTGCCCCCACTTCCTGACAACATTCAATCTAAAGTGAATCTCCACTTCCTTAGACCATTCCCCAAATTACTGTGACATCCCATAGTGTGTGTTCTTCCTCAACCTGTGCCAGAGAGGCCTACCTAAGAGAATTTCAAGAAGGAAAAAGTGGTAAACAGTGCTTACATATCAAATAGATGAGCAAAGAAAATATCCACTAACTTAGCTACATGAGAACTGTCAGGGACGTGAGGAAGAGCAAGTTCACAAGCTTTGGTGGGCAACAGCTAAGAAGTGTAGAGTTCATCTTGTAGTCAATGGGAATTAGTGCTGAAGGCAATGATCAGCTGCGATATTTAGGAAGAAAGTTCTAACAGAAGAGTTAACAACAGACTGGACTAAAAAGAGGCCTGAGGCAGATTAATTTGAGAAATAGTCATCAGAGGACTAAAGGAGAGAAGAAAGGTAGGAGAAGAGTGACATCAAGGTTTTCCAATTGAGAAAAATGGTGGACAGTAACGTGAGAGGACAAAGTAAGAATAAAAAAGGCTTAGGGTGGGAGAGGGAGAAATTTGTTAACTTTCAGACTCCTAGAGGAGTCCCAGGTGGACATAACCTACAGGCAGTGCCATCTCATTCATTTACTCAACAAGTATTTTGGGGATACCATCATTAGGAATTGTGCCAGGCTGTGCAAACACAGTTATAAACAAGACAGTCATTGTCTGGAACTTACACACCTGGCTTATTATACCGGACTGAAAAGTTCCTTGAGGAGAGAACTTATTCATCTTTAGTAAATCCAAGGTAGAGAAGCAGAAATAATGACAGAAATATACACCTTGTAACGCACAATGAGTAGCTCTCACCACAACCCTTCCCCTCACATATAAATACAATTTTACCCTTGTTTCCAACAGAAATCTAAATGATATGGGCCAAGTGCAACACTCAGTGAACCTATTATCTTTCAAAGATCTTGTACACACACCACTGCTCACTTGCTCTCACTTATTACCTTAGTTATGAATTAACTTGGGGCAGTCTTAATATTGTTCATGTAAATAAAACTAATTTTTAGTCATCTGTCTTCCTAGTTTCCTGAGTGAGGTCTCTTTCTCCTCTTTTTCAGTGGCGGGGCCTAATTATCACTGATAATCAGTGTTAGCAGTATACCCACATCAAGAAAAATCACAGAAGTGAAATCAAGTAACTTACTGCCATCAACCTGCAAAGTACTTTACAAGTGCCCAGAATCACCTGCTTAACCTCTACAAGTCTGTTTCTTCTGATTAAATCTACTTTTCTTCAAGCACAAGCAGTCGAGATAACTTCACTTATTTCCTGTTATGCTATTGTAAATACCTACACAGTACTTTCAGCTGTTACAGGATCTCTAAGGTCCCTGCTAGCTCTGAAAACCTATGACGCCATCACAGACCTGAGATTTTTATTAGCATTTTCAAGTTTCCAAAACAAAATGCCTTCCAATATCCAAAACACACAAATAAGTAAATTTGGTAACATAAACCATTATCAAGCTAGGAAACTCTACAATGCAGTGAATTATTTTGAAATCCTATCAAATGGTATTTTTAAAAAATCAACTTGTAAATTTTACAATGGCTTCTTGAAGAAACTTCCCAAAATCATTACACGCTTTTTTCTTAACTCTGGAACTAAAATCCAATTCAACTAAAACAGGCATCTATTGAGAACCCATGTGGCCAAGGCACTAAACAGTGGAGGATTCAGTTCAGTAAGACAAGGTCCCTATGCTCAAGGAATTCCCTAAACAATCCTCGCCCCCAGCTCCAGTCCAGACTACCTACTCCCTCCCTCCCAGTGGAGTTGTATGTAAGTGTGCTTTCACACCTGTACTCATTTGCTCTAGCTAGGATTTCAAGACCTAGCTCAGACTGCTCCTCAAACAGGAATCTCCTTGCTTTCATCTTCTCTGCCACTGATGCCTGACAACTATATATTGCCCTGGGTTATTTATCTTTTTACTATAGTGTTTTAGTCATTCAACAAGCATGTAGATATTACTGAGGGCAAGCACCACATCTTAAACTTTTTGTAGTCCCTCTCATGAAATTATTAAAAGCATCTTCCAGCACAAATATTCCATAAGCCTGACTTGCAACTGAAAATTCAGTCTTACTCTCAATGTTCCCTGTCAAAACTCTGGAGAAGTAGCATAATATGGTAGTTAGGGGATATCTGGAATCCCAGATCTACTACTGTCTAACTGGCTTTCGGCAAGTACTTAGCATGGCCACCTCTCAGTTTCCTCAGCTGTAATGGAGATTATTAGTATCCACTTTACTAGAGTTGTAAGGACAAAAAGGATCAAGTGTATAAAGTCCACAGTGAGCATTAATATTAACTATTATGTACAGAGAGATAAAAAACAGTAAATTGTTTCTTTAGCTCTTGATTCCTTGGAATACTTTTATTCAGTTGGTGAAGCATATGAAAATAAAAAGAACTTCATTAGTTACCTCAACCTAGTGAATATTCAATATTAATATTCATAAATTGGGCATTCACATGGTTCAGGCACATTCAAGTTTTCATTCTGGTATCTACAAAATCACTTACCTACTGGCACTAAACCTTAATATCCCACCGTCAGAGAATAGGGAATACCAGAACACAGAACAAAAAGGATATTAGTTTTCCCCCCTAATAAATTGAGACTATGACTTAAGATCTACAAAAGGATTATTTAAGAACGTTGACTTTTGAATCTGTACCACTTCTTTATCTTCTTTGCATTAATGAACCACGTAGCTATCCTGAGACCTGAAATTTCGGGCCTACAAGGGACCTTTTGTAATCACCCATGTACAACTCTCCCAAACTGAAAATTTAATCCCAAATTAAGTAGCCTGCCCAAGATTTCACAGATAGTTCACAACATAGAATCCTACATGACTAGAACCCATATCTTGTGACTAGTAGGTCATATTCCCTTTGGATTCTACCATGAGGAGAATAAATTTTTTTTCTCCCTTTTAGATGTATTGTTTTCTTCTCCCCTTAGCACAAAGTAGAGTGGTTTGCACGTGTTAGCTATTCTATACTGTTAATTAACCTCGTCCTCAAAATCCTTCTGGCACTAAGATTTTAAAACATGTAGCAACAAACTGATATTTACATGCAAATAAACAAGTAAATAAATTTCTGAGGAATCAGAAAGCATCATTTTAAAACAGAACACATATATTCAAATAAATGCCTGTACTAGAAACATACAGAGAAATCCTCAAAATACACGACTTCAAATGTTCACTATTTTAATTCATCTCTTAATGTCTGTAACTTAATATACATAGTGCTTTAGTTCCAAAGACTTGTCTGTTAACTGGATGGCTTGAGTATATTACAACTTTTTAAAACAACATTAATAAAAATATCTTAATGATGCCAAATTACTGGAAGTCACTTACTGTGTCACCTAAACGTATCTTCTATAATGCTCACCAGCTATTAGAAACATATCATTATTACACTTTTAGAATAATCCTCCAAGCAATGTTTTGATTTATTCCAACCCAAATTGGAAGAGAACCCTTACCAAGTTCAACACTGACTACAGTTTAACATCAGAGCACTATTTCTTTCATATAGGTTATTTAAAAAAACAAAAACTAAAAACCCAAACACGTATATATTACATTTCCTTTACAACAAATTTAAGAAGCTTCAGTCAATAATCACATATGCAGTATTATCACATAACTTGATTTCTTTATTCTAGACATCCGCAAGTCTTAGTTGAACACACTGTACCATTATAGTGAAAGTGCTATCTTCACCAGAATGAAATTTAGTACTTTTACCGAATGAGCCAAACTGACAGAAACAAGAGTGAAAAAAGAAAATCACACCACACACTCTACATAGTGGAAAGTTATATATACGTTCCATTCAAATATTGACCTAAATTTCAATGGGCTACACTGGAAGAACGCAAACCTCTCAAGAGAATTAACAGGATTCTAATCCTTCAAAAATACAAAAACTTTTATTTCTCCCAATAATCTTGATTTTGGCCCTAGAACTAAGCAGATCTAAAATACCAAAATACCCAAAACAAATATATCTCTTACAAAAAGTCACAACGCTTAAAATCTTTAGTATTAGCAAACCTGGACTTAAGAAGTTCCAAATGCAATACTTAAAAACCACCTCGATAGCAAAACTTTTTAAAAATCATTTTTGGCTTTGAGGTCACAGAACCAAAACTGTATTTCATGAGCCATTTTAATACGCCAGTACATCAATTTAATTAAGAACACGATCATTACATTTTTGATAGTTCCCTCCCAAATCGGAAAATTTCTTCCTGGTAGATAAGGTTTAGACATGTCTTCAGGTGTCAAAGCGTACCATGCGTACCCAAAAAGAAATTAACATAAGCTCTTCATCCACAATTTTAACTGAAGCCTATTTGTTCTTTCCTTTAAAATGCATACAAAATGCAACCGCTAAGTCTTAGGGAACAAAACAAGTATCAAAGAAATAAGCAGCTTTTTTAGACCGGGAGCTTATTTATTTTGGGATGGGACAACAGGCGGGAAGGAAGGAATATAACAATTACTGTAGTGCAGGAAAAAAAAAACAGAGAGAAAGAAACCAAGATAATCCGCGAACACACAATTCTCGGTTCGGAACCGACAGTCCCAGTCTCCCGGCACCGAACCGCGGTGGTACACCTCCCTACTCCCCGTCCGCGTCCCCGGCCACTCCTCCTCTCGCTCAGACCCCTCCACTCGGCGGACGTCCTGCCTGCGGTCCAGCGATGCCCCTTTCTGGCAGTAACGGTGGCCGCAGGGATGTGAGACCGAAACCCCGAGCTCCGCGACCCGCGAGAATGACAGAGATGCTGGCGGGAAACCCTCCAAGCCACGCGCCCTCCCTCCCCCGGCCTCCCACCTCCACGAAGGGGACACGAGGTGACGGCGCCGTCCGTTCGCGGAGGCCGCGGCCCCGGTGGGCAGCGGGCGGCCTAGCGCTGGGCCGGGCAGGCCGGGCACCGGGGACGCAGAGGGCAGGGCCGGGAGGCGGGCAACGGCCCGCGGGAGGGGGAGGGGGCCGCCAGCCGCAGGGAGGGGCGAGCGCCCGCGCGGGCACGGGCCGCGCCTCGGCCTCACCTGAAGTCCTTGTCGCTGGACGTCATCTTCTCCAGCAGGTTGGAGATGTGGTACGAGGCGCTCGCCATGTTGCCGGCCTCGCCGCCGACGGCCGCCGCCCGCCGCCGCTGGGGCTCCTCCTCCCGCCCGCGGCTTCGCTTCCAGGGTCGCGGCGCGACGCCGACCTGACGAGGGAGGCGCCTCGGCGGGCAGTCCCGGCCGCGGGGAGGCGGAGGCTTCGGGAGGCCTGACCACGGCGCTGCGGGCCGGAGGACGAGCGCACGGGCCGCGCGGACCTCGGCGGGGCCTCTGCGGGCAGTAGGACGCTTCCAGCGGGCCGTCGCGCTCCCACTCGCGCCACACTCGCTCCGAGGGCTAGAGGCCAGAGCCCGCCTCCTGCACGCCGGGGCGGGGGCGGGAGACGCCGACGTACGGGAAGCGAAGGTCAGGGTTCACGGCGGCCGCCCCACGCACGCTGCGGAGACGCGGGCCACAGGGCAGTCCTGTTGGCCAAGGTCTGTGTCAATCTCCACACGGACCGCCTTACAGGAGGCGTGAAAACGACCCAAAGAGGCTGTTCTCGCGAGACTTGAAAGCGACGGTTAAAGGCCGGGGGGGGGCGACTGGGACAAGCGTGCCTTCTCTGAAAATAACTTGATTTTTTTTTCTGTATGACAGTAAGAGATAAGTTTACGATTTTTAAGGAGTGTAAGGCATGAAACTAATGCTAATTAAGGGGGTGAGTCTGGGGACCAACAGAAGAATTACATGAAGGAGCTTTCGTTTCGAATCGGACGCGTGGCCTACATTGCCTGAACCACGATGGTGCAATGCTGCCACGTGAAAACCACAAGTCCCAGAATTCAGTCTGGGTGTTGCACTGGGTCGGGATATGATTGGCTGAGGGAACTTGCACCTTCCCCATTGGCTCCCGGGGGAGGCGCGCATGCCGGGATTTGCAGTCCGGCGAGCGGCTGTCGGGGCTGGAATCTTAGACCCGCGCGCGTCGGCTGTTTGCGGCGGGCCGTGGTGTCCTAGTACGGCGGCCTTCCCTCCTATGGGATGTCTGCAGAGCGGGGCTGCTGCGGTGGAGCAGACGCATTGCGCATCTGTTGGTGGTGTCGGCAGAGGCCTAGCAGCGGCTTCCCAGCGCTGATCCTGGAGTGACAAGCATCCTTGCTCGGCGCAGGGAAGGGCCGGCGCCCTAAGGCCAGAGGGACCGCGGCGAGACCGATGGGCCATGGCTGATGACTGTGCTCGGCCTACTCCTTTAGAGAGGGCAGCTCAACGGCCGCCCCTGCGGTCCGCTTCTGTGCACCCGAGAATCCTGCGGCTGTGCATTTCATTGTTCCCTGAGACACACACGCAGCAATGGGAGATTACATCCCGAATCATTTGTTTCAGTATCCACGTTTTTATCTGCTTAATTGGGATTGGAGCTAGCTAACAGGCCTTTCTAAAAGGAAAAAGAGCAAGCCCGGTCAAGAGACAAGGAAAATTCAATCCCACTCTGTTACTGCTCCTGTTTAAAAAAAACAACTTTCAATAGCCCCTTTCTTCCGAGTATTAAATCTAACGTTTCTCTACCACTCTCTCCTTTGTTCACCAAATATTACTGAGTGCTTCCTAAAAGCCAGGCACTGGTACAGGCAAAAACAGTTCAAAAGATGAAACATCATCTGTACTCGCAGTCCTTACCTGAATTTCCCCTCATTATTCTTGTTTAGCCTCCCCCCCTCGTCTTTTTACTTTAATACTGTTTTTCTCCCCAGTAGTACCATATCTCTTCCCTCATTTTACCCGAGTCAGCCATCATTAGGTTCCCTGAGTGCTTCAGCCACAATTAATTCCCTTCTGCTCTGAACGGCCTTTCCAAAATCTTTAATATAAACTGTACAGACATATCACACACAAGCAAGCTGGGCATTTATCTTGTGTGCACCCTGAGGCTTAAAATCTCAGTCATCTGGTGATGACTCTTTTAGCCCGAGTGCAATCAGACACCAGGTCATGTTTTCTCCTTTTGTGTGTGTAAATCCTGTCATTTGTCAGTCTCCAACTGAACTATACTATTTGTCGTCTGACAGCTTTAATATAAATCCTGTTTAACGCCGCTTATTAGCTGTCTTAGGCAATTCACTTTAAGCCCTCTGAGCCTTGACTTCTTCATGGGTAACACAATGATCATCAGAATATTACCCCATCCGGCTGTTTTAAGAGTCAAATGAGCTATTGTCTTAGCCTGCTAGGGTTGCCATACAAATACCACTGGCTCGCGGGCTTAAACGACTGAAATTTATTTTCCCACAGTTCTGGAGGCTGGAAGTCCAAGATCAATGTGCCAGCAGGTAGATTTCTCCTGAGGCCTTAGTTTTCAGATGGCCGCCTTCTCACTGTGTGCTCACATGGCCTTTTCTCTGTGCACCCGTACCTCTGGTATCTCTTTCTCTTCCTATAAGGACGCGAATCCTATTGGATTAGGGCCCCACCCATTTAACTTCATTTCACCTTAATTGTGTCCTCATTTAACCTAAGTACCTCTTTGAAGGCGCTATCTCCAAATACTGTCACAGTGGAGATTAGGGCTTAACGTAGGAATTCAGGGGGGACACAATTCAGTCTATAACAGATATCCCATATACCGTTCTCAGCACATTGCCGGGAACGTAATAACAATATTTATAACTAATATTTCTTGCACACTTACAAAGGTTATGGAAAGCATCTAATAAAAGTTGGCTATTATTATTACATTCTCTCAGTTGTTTACTTATCCCTATGCCACACCAGTCTACATAGCCTGGTTAGAGTTTTCCAAAACATTATTTTATAGTGCTACTCACCAATTTAAAAAGTTCAGTGGCTCTCTACTACTGAATAAAGTCCAAAAGTTTTGGCAATCAGTGGCCTCCTTCACGCATCCCTTACCCTTTCTTTCTGACGTTTCTCCCGCTATTATTTGCGGTTTACTCAAAGAACACCTGGAAAGCTTATTGAACCCTCCAGAGCAGGATCAAGACAGTGCCCTCCAAACCCTCCTCCCTGGGCTAGGAATTGCTCCTATCAATTTTTCTGAGTCCCTCAAAGATCCAACTCCAAGATTTTGTACATCAGCAGCAGCAGCACTTACAGCTCAGGCGCTGCATTAACTCATTTAATCCACGTTTTAAGTACAAGAAGCACAGAGAGCTTAAGTAGCTTGGTAAAGGTCGCCAACCAGGTGCGTGAGGATTAAACCCAGGCAGGCTCACTTCAGAGCCCATTCACCAAACCTCCACTCTGGAAGGCTTCTCCTCCCCAGAATGCCTTTCCCCTCCCCTGTCTCCCTTTCTAGGATCTTGAAGCAATCATATTGTTTATATGCTAGCCTCCAACTGGAGTGTAAGTTCCTTAAGACATATATCAACTTCAGATCACTTCTGCTTCTTTCAAGTACTTAGCTGGTGCCACACTCGTAATAGGCACTCAATAGCACTTAATTTTATTTCATATTCTTGACCACTTAGAGAGTTGATCTGTGTATCACTGAATATAAACAGTGGGAAAATGCTTTCCTTTAAGGATCTGTAAACGCTAAATTAATATTAAATGCAAAAGGAAATACGTCTAGATAAGGCTATCCTCTAAGAATTTTCTTTCTAGTCAATGGTCATAATGGAAGACCGAGACAAGGAATTTGCGAGAGGAAGGAAAACGGAGACCTTCAAGCTGTTGGGAGGCTCTTCAAGTATCAACCAGCAGTTTAGTTAATTCACAAGCACTTATTGAGTGCCTACACTGTGCCAGACACCGTACCAGATGCTGGGGATGCGAAGATGAGCAAGACATGCTCCTTAATCTTGAGGAAACTTCAGGCTGACCAAATCTTAAATTTCATATCAAATGTTTTATATTTTAGGCAAAACTGAGAAAATTGCTTACCATAAGTATAGAATCAAAATAAATTTGTATTTATATTCTGTATTTGAAATGAGGAATAGATGCTGAAATTGTCTTTAAAATGCTCAAATATGCATAGTCTGAGGTGAAGTAAGTATTAAGAGATAAACGTCAATAAAGGGAGGGCAATGGAAACATTATATAATTGATTTATTGAACAGTATGGAGTTGTTGGGGTACCGGCATGAAATGCTACTTGTTGCTTTGTTTTTCAAACACACTCTGTCGGATATTCTCCATGACCCTTAGTGACCCTAGGTAGTCCCCGTAGCTTTCCCTTGAAGTCCAGTCTAGTTTAGTCCAATGTCCGTCCTGATACCCCTTCTGCTTCTCGATCCTGTAGGGTTAGGAAGATGACAAAAGAGAAAATAAGGGAAAAGGCAAATCTTTGTTATTCGATGGTTATGATTATACTTCTCTCTTGACGGCTGATGCCATCCGGCAGAGCCCCAAATACCAACTCTCTTGTGAGGATCAAGGTTGTGAGTTCTTTAGGGTGTCTTTCAAGGCCTTCCCTCTGCACACTTCCACGGCACAGCACATCTGAGCACTCCAAGGCCCTCCGGTGGCAAATAGCGCTCGTAGACGGGCTGCCTCAAGAAAGCTGAAGCCGAGCTTGGAGGGAGCTGTGTGGCTGGCCCGCTGGAAGCCCCCGTGTCCTCACTACACCAGAGGAGGGCTGCAGGCTGCTGCTCTTTACACCCTCTCTATCCTGCCACTTCTCTCCATCTCTCTTCTGCCCTCCTCACATGGGCACAGAGCGGTAGGTGGCCAACCAAGGGATGAATAGTCTGTAGTTTTGGGGGTACCAACGTGAAATGTTTCTTTGTTTTGTTTTTCTGATTACTGCTTTCAAACATACTCTGTCAGGTATTTTCCTTCACTCTCAGTAACCTCTTGGGCAGACCTCGAAGCTCTCCAAACCCTTATTTTCCTACAGGAATTCTCATTTCCTCTGAGTGGTGGGGTCTTTCTGTTTGGTTTTTTCGGAATGGGAAGTGGAGGAAAGACCCAGCACTGTCTGCCAACTAATAATTACATTTCTGTTAGAATCCTCTCTTCTCACGGGGGCCATCTTCCATGGCCTGCAGGGTGTTGGTAGGATGATGGTAACAAAGTCACTTCTAAAAGGGGTGACTGGCCCCCCTTGGTGAGTCTCTTTAAAAATAGGATATCTTATGCCTAGTGTTTTCAACTTGGGGTCTTCTAAGGCAATAGGAAATGTCTCATTTTATATATATGTGGAGAGAATGTGAGGAAAGAGACCTCCAAGAATGTGGAAGGCCAATAAAGAAGAACAAATTTAGAGTGACACTGGTTCTTGTACAGGGAAATGAAAGGTGTGGAGCGATATGACAAAGAAAGAAGTTTTCCTTGTCTGTTTTATGGCTGTTGAAGCTTAAATAGGTAACATACAATTTCCCACTGATTGGAGAGGAATGTTACTGAGTTCAGGTTATTTTCCCCAAAAATACTC